ACAAAGCCTTCCAATTACCACGCGAGTCTGTCGTTAAATTTAAATTAGCCCACGAAACCGTTGCTTCAGCATTACTCGCGAATAATTTGAATTCGTTCCTGAACGCTGCCCGTTTCCTCGCGTGTCCGATCCGTAGTTTCCACACGGCGAACGATTCCCTAATTGCTTCACGCTTTCCCAGATGTCGACTGGGTTGTCCAATCTCATGTTAAGACACGATAAACCATTTCAGCACCGGTGACGTAACGCGGTGCACGTATTACCTCTTGCTCGCGGCGGTGCACCGTTACACCGTGAACGTGCACCGCGTTGCATGTATGCGAGATGCAAAGTGCAGCGATCGCACGCGCACACGTACTCGCGAATTTCGCTATTGTCTTATGCATCTCGCATGGGTTGTTCATTCATGCCCACGCCCCGGTGCTCGGACACATGCGAGCTTATACAGCCACACACGTGCCGTTCAAGCGTCGTTCCCGTCGATCATTTGCGGCAGGAAGCGGTGACTGCACTTGCTGCACGCCCACTTGCATCGGACGATCTCGCGCCGAGAGTTTTGCAAAGAGGTGGAAACGAAACGTTTCTTCCCTTGGAATACAATATGGGGCACTCGGTGTGCAGCGACTTGCTATCTTTAAGTGCCGGAGCCGCAGAATATTATTGCGAGTTAGGATATTATTGAGAGACGAGCGAAATTTTTATTTATCGATGCTAGATTTAGCCCTTTGCACTCGAGGCCTTTTTTTCTGGTATCTACCAGCAACTCGAGATGCTTCTTAGCATTCTATTGCTATGAATTCTGAGCTATCTAGATTTGAGAATAAGGTCACCTTTACATCGCCGGCAATCATTTTATTAACACTTCGAGCTTCACAGAAATTAAACCTAAAGAAATGCTAGGTATTGTAGATTTTGCTGCGTGAAACCTAATGGTGACTGAGAGTCACCTCACGAGTGCAAAGGGTTAGTACGTCTCTTTAATACGGTAATTGTGAAAATACAAAGCTTAATAAATATAGTAACTATGCGTATAAAGGTATGATTCTCGAGTATTATACGAATTTCAATTGTGAGTATGAGTAAAAATGAAGGTAGGAATCGATCGAAAGACTGTCGTGCAATTTGTAAGAAGGTAGAACACCTTGTGCCTGAGATCGAATCGCTGTCAGTCTTGTACATTTTTTCAACCTCGAGAAGCCAGTAGAAAGCAGGGCTTTGAATATACAGGGTGTATGTTCTACTCATATGTGGGAAAAGAGCGGATATACCACGAGGCTTCGCGTAGAAGGGACACTCAAGTGCTTCTCTTAATATATTTACTGTTCAAAAGGATAAGAAAACTTATCTCCGAAAAAGGGCCTGTTTTGTAATTTAATAAACCTCCTAATTTTATACGAAATTTAATGTCTAATAATATAAATATATTGGCCGAATTACATGGAAAAGTAGAATTTTGCATCGAATACGTAGTCTGTTAGTATTATTTAATAAAATACAAATTACAATTAATGAAAGATGACGGGCGGATTTTGTTATTAAGAGAAGATCTTAAAGCCCCTCCGACGCCATCGAGTGTTGTCAAAAGTGAAAATCCAGCGAGCCTAAGTCCGTGGAACGAGTACGTCAGACAATAGGCCTGCAGGACCTATCCATCTGTTAGAAAATCGTTCGTTTAAGAATCCGCGTGGCTACTCGTCTGAAATAGAACGATGCACCGTCATGCATAAATCACACGCCACGTAAAACATCTTAATGGGGATTCTTTCAAGAATTCATGCTGTTCGTTACTCGAGACATTGATATTACATTAACTTGTTAATCCTCCATTTAGGAAATTAAACTTTTATCCGTGTATATGTATATGGAATCGTTGAACATTAACATCGCTGAACATGAATAGTAGTTTAGTGAAATATGGTAGCTTAGTTTACGATTAATCGGGCGTTAATGTAACTCAAGAAGCTAATGTAACTTTAAATTCTATAGGATGAGCATTTAAACATTTCTTTTTTTTGAATGGTACATTGATTATGAACAACGCATGTGCTTACTTGTGTAACGTGAATAAATTCATACTTTTTTTTGTGTTATGTGTGACATGTGTTAAATAAATCAGACATTATTTTCAATCGTGATATATTATTATTTTGCATTCCTCCTTACCTGAAAGTTGACTCACAGAAAATAAAATTTTGACACTGATCTAAATTGACCACGGTTACATTGTCTTTTTCATTCTTTCCTTTCCGCAAAAGTTAGTAGACGAATCGTCACCGATAAAAATGATTGACACCCCTCGACGCTCGACATCTCCTACGCGATCGTCATTCTCATTACATAAATCTCAAAGAGAACATACCATAAACCCCTTCAACACTCGAAACCGACCAGGAACGATCAGTTTCACACAAAAATTGATAAAAAAAGAAATCCAAACGATATTCCCAAAAGCGGGACGGTATCGTGTCATCGAAGCTCTTTAAAAGCTCTATCCAGAACGAGATTTAGCTCTCAGATAAAGATGTCCTTTCTTGGAATAAATTCCGATAAATAACAATAAAGCGTTTAATCACTTTTATGAGTTACATTCATCATCCTCCCTCGGTTCTTTATCCGTATATCATCCACTGGTTACACGTAGTCATCACGCGCGTTGTGCTGACTTACCCGTCTCGAGAAATCCATGGTCTGTATCGTTCCTCGTTGCTTTAAGTCATTTAAAAGAAAAGTACGAACGGTTCCGTGGCGATATGCGCGAAGGAGCAGGAGAAGGCGTTTGCCACGAAGTAACACCGTCTAACTGTACGCGAACACAACTGGTACCATGCGTTCCTGACTAAAAAGAAACCGTACCGGTGCGGGACTCGTCCGGAAGTGGGCCCCGGAACCCCGTGCGGCCACCCGTGACCGACGGGTACCCGGTGAATAAAACGTCGAGCCATGCGGGCATCGGTTCCATGGTTGCAAGAGCATCTCGCTCGAACGCACCTGTTCTGCACCTTTCTAACGTTATCCTGCGTCACGAAGGCTCGCTGTTCAATTTTACTCTTTTTTATTCCCGGCTCCGTCGGTTGTCTTCGTTCGAATAACGGATGCCGATCTAATGATCGCGATTACGGCCTTTCTACCGTACCGTGAAAGATTAGGAGCATCGACTCGGGAACGTGTTCGTCACGCTTCTTTTTTTTTTTTTTTTACGCGTTAGATTATTTATTTATTACGGAGATAATGGTAGAAATGTAGGTACATAGATGCTTAACTAACTCTAATGTAATATAATCGATTTATTGTTACACTAGTATGCTTACGCCTCTCGAGAAGAACACGATCAATTATTTCTTGGATTTATATGTTTTTTTATTAGTCGACTGGCCTCCTTTTATAAAACTTTTAAACTATCGCAATTTCTCTTGCGAGTTCCCGCTAATTTCGCTCGAATCAATAGCCATCTAGCGGTGAACAGGCCGAACTAACTTCGGAGTATGGTCAGCCCCTCTAACGGGAAGACGCTCAAGTTTGTCCTCGAATAGTTCCCCTGTCAACGGTAGACGGAGCCATTTGTTTTTTTTAATTATAAAATTAAGAGTACATGGCTGAAAAATGATTCTCATTCATATTTTAATATTGCAATGATTGTCCACATATTAGTTTTTAAATATATATAAAAAAAATACAAATACCTCGAATGCCCAAGTTTGTTGCCGATTAGTTTGGTTTGTTCACTGCTGGATGGCGATATAGGTATTCTCAAGTTTTTTTTTTTTATATATTCAAAAACAAATAGGTGAACAACTATTGTAATATTAAAATATGAATGAGAATCATTTTTGAGCCTTGAATTCTTAATTTTTTATTTAAAAAAAACAAATGGCTCCATCTACCATTGCCAGGGAAACTATTCGAGGAGAAACTTGAGCGTTTTCCCGATAGAGGCGTTGACCATACTTCGAAGTTAGTTCAGTTGTTCACCGCTAGACGGCGACACTAATTTCACGCGGGAAATTTGAATTTCTTTTTATTTAATTAAAGTTTATTAGAGTATATAATGTATTAAATGATTAATTAAGATACCTTGCATTTTTTTTTATCTTAAATATAAGCTGTTGAATTCCTCTAGTGAACATATTGTAGATTATAATCCAAGATATGATAGGATGTTGTTTCTTCGTATACGTCGAACAAATTAGTATCTGTCAATCAACTCTGACGGATACGGGAAATTTTTTATGTAACTTTTATATGGCATAGAGGGAAGCCGATGGACTGGAGAAATGACGAGTCCGACCATTCAAGTGGTTTGTTCCCCATGCATTTTATACTCTTTCATTTCATTAATATCAATTTATATCTATTTTTATGACAGTGGAAAATTTTACATGGGACGAGAAAAACCTCTTGACGAAGACCAAAAGCGATGTAAGTGTAACTGGTGCGGTTGGATGTAACGTCTGTTGTCAAGGAGTACAGGTTAAAAATATCTTCTAATAAACATTTTTTTAATGTCAAGAACATATAAATTGTAACTTCTTAGTAAAAATATAAAAAACAGGCGAACTTCGGTATTTGTAAAGAATCAAGAAGCTTTACGTCGGCCTTCGAACGCTTGGAACTGGAGGCGGAAATTGAATGTAGAAACGAGACGATACCGCTTCGACGAACGAGCGACGCTCAGACTGAACCACTTGATGATATCAAACAAGAATTATATGATTTTGATGCTAGAGATATTTTACCTTGTCGACAAGCTCTTCAACATTCGGATATTTTGAATTTCCAAGTACGATTTGCGTGATTTCAAATCACTTAAAAAATCACTAATAAATTTAAATATTTCAGGGCGTTAGATACCCGTCCGAAGATATAGCTCGTTACTGGAAGAAAGACTCGCGAATGTGGCTTTGGAAATCTGTTAGACTGATGCGCAGACAAAACGAATGTAAATCTTCGAGTAACGCGTGCGCGACAGATAATGAAAATGAAGAAAAAGATTAATCTGAATGTCAACAAAAATTTCGGGCGTAAATTTTTTTTAACGTTTAGATTGTTGTATTTATTGTTCATAGCGCTACTTTAAATAGATTCTATTTTTCGATATATGTACAATGTATTAGATAATAAGTAAAATCAATCAACAAGATATTCTGTATTTCATAGTATTTCTCGATTGTAATATACTTTAACGCGTCTAATAACGAAGGCAGCATTCTCAGTATTTGACCTGCAGCAAAGTAGGTAGTAAACAAAATAAAATGATTATATATTCTTTTATCGTGCTAAAGTGACAATAATTGTTCAGAATACGAACAAAGGTGATACATAATAAATTGTATATACAACATTATCCTAAATTGAAAATGATTAGTTATCCTAACCACAAGTTTCAATGGCATCCAATGTTTCATCTCTTTCAATAGGTTCACCTATTTCAAAGCGCGCAAAATCGACAATTTCAATTTGTTCAGTTTCTAATAGTTGTTGTATAGATATAGTATGATCGAGCAAAAATTCTTGATACAGCATAACCTGTTCATCTTCGATATCATCATGAGGTTCATCAACTTTTGGATCACCAATTTTGATTGGATTCATACCTAATATTGAAATACACATTATTAAACATTTTTTTTTAAAACTATCGTAATATGTGGAATAAATGAATATAATTTACCAATAACATGTTGACATAGTTGCAGTCCTACCATGGGATTTTTTACTTTAGATCTTATAGCCACCAATGCTCCGTATCGCCCAAAAGATGATGGGACTGGATTTACAGGATTGGGGTGGGTACAACCATACAATTGCACACCAGGTTGCACACTCATACACAGAGCACGTTTTATATTAATGTTTTCTCCGATACTTCCAATAGTTAAAGCAGAGTGATCAGCTAAAGTTTTACCATCGCCTGCAGGCAAGGAATTTAAAAATTCCGTATATAACATGCTTTTAGCAACCAGTGCTTTCGATTCCATTGTCATTCCATGCTTCAACACGCTGGAGACTACAGTTTCTGTTAGGTCATGAAATTTTTTGTTTCTAGCAACAAAGTCTGTTTCACAATTAACTTCCACAAGAGCTCCATGATTTTCATTTGTGATCATCGCTATTAATCCCTGAGTAGTCACCCTGGATTGTAATTTTGTTGCTTGTGTCCAACCTTGGGCTTGAGCTTGTTCTTTCAGCCATAGCTCTGCCTAAAATATATAAACATTAATAATACTTTTATAGAGACTATAAGCTCACGAGTTCCTTACTTTCTCTATATCGTTGTCATGCAGCTCCAATGCCTTTTTACAGTTTACAAATGTGTATCCAGTCTTCCTGCGCAACTTGCCTAATAACGTCTTCTTTGAAGAATAACAAAGTAAGTAATTTGCGTGTAGGGAACGAAATAGCTGGCGTGGAATCATCTGAAATATGTCACTGGTTGTGTCACTTTGTGTGAAAACAACTTGAAAGAGTTGCTTTATAATACTAAAGAGACTTAACCTCAAAATATCCAAACATCATTTCGACTCGTATGGCATTTCGACGTAATTAGATTAGCACGACATTATTTTATAAGAATCTTTTCATTAAAAAATCCCACGAATCTTATGGAAATTGATCAATTTCGTTGCCTAGAAACTACAGTCAATTGCAGTTGCTAGTGTCATTCTACTCGCGACTCGATAGTGGTAACCGCGTAGAAATGACATACCTTAGACATCGTCTTTCAAATATACTGTACAACAATATTTTAGGCAATACTTACAGTACAGTAAAAAAAGGTATCTAGCGTGTTTCACTCACCTTGTACAGAGTTCAAAAAACGGAGACTCGTAACAATTGGTGAACCAGACCTATGGACCAACTCCGAAAGTGGCGCCGTCTGTGACGATACAAAAATTCGCAAGGTAGTCGAAACACCGATACTTTTCAACCATATATTCGCACATTGTATTTCATAAAAACCGTGACTTGTAAACGATTTTTGATATACATGATCCTTTGAATTTCCTGTTGATACCTAAACTGTATATTTATGCGACACGTAAACCTTATTTTATCAAGTGTATGATAGCTTCTTCGAGATCTCGTCAAGATACGTAGATTCAACATGAAATGCGACTGCGAGGAAGTGACGTCATGCGAGGGCATCCCTCGTTCGAAATTTCAAAACGAGGGAGCCAAGGATGTTCCACAAATATCTAAAGTGATAGAAACGAAGATCGAACCGTTATTTAGCTTGCCACCGGAATTAATGGAATGTCCTAGGACTAAAAAAAAGCAGGAGAAACGAAAGCAACGAAAACACGAGGAGACATATACTGGAAAACGATTAAAAACTGAATACTTTCGCAGGTTAGCAAATCGCGCCATTTTTTTTTTACCTTGTTTCGCTTAAGTTTGAATTAAATTCGATGTTATAAGAATGTAACTGAAGTATAATTGCTAGAAGGTAATGATCGACGACATTATTTAAAGATTTTTAGCCAGTTTAGTCATCAAACCGGAGTTGTCACAGGCAGATATAGATTTGAACAAAGACCAAGACGTGAATCGTTATTACAATTATATTACCAATGGGGCCGACACTTTTCACACGGTTCAGATTCAGGACGACGTTGTACAGAAGATATTAAATTTAGTCCCGTACAATTTAAGAGATCGATTCAACTACTGCACGGAGGATTTGCTGATGGAGATCAAAGACACGTTCAAGAAGAATATTAAAAAAGCAATATTGGAATTCGCGTTGCAAGATCGTTTGCAGGAGCGTTCGGTCGAGGTCGAATACAAAATAATTTCCAATACCGAGTGTTTCGTTTATCTTTGTACCCTTTTTCGATCACGGATATTTTTATATTCGATGTTATTTGAAGATCAACACACGACTATCCGAATATGACTGTGTAAAAAATGGTGGTTAATTATAATATCTGTACCTTCGAAGCAAACGATTTCATAGATTTGTAGTTCCTGTCGATAAAAATAAACGAAACACCCTGTACATTCAATATGAAATCGATCGTTGGTGGTTTCTTGTATGGTTTGCGCCAGTATCGGAATTTTTATCCCAAGCGTTTTCAATTCCTCCAGGAGCAAGAAATTAAACTGCTGCCTGCTTTAGCGGGTCAGGTCCGGGAGCACCGTGAAACTTTGCGGAACAATTTGCACCTGATAAACCCATGCATGAAGATGACGTTGGAACAATGGTTTTGCAAATTCCGGTACGAAATCGGTCGTTCGCAGCGCGATGGTCTCATCTCGATCGATCGACGGGCTTTCTTTCAGAAATTTCCGGCTTATCGACCTGGAGCATATCGTCGAGTACGCCGATAGTTGGGATCTGGCTCTGTTCGAAAGCACTCTCCGTCGTCAAATTGACAGGGAGAGGAACACGCTAAGGAAGTCTTGGTACAGTGGAATACAGGATGTATTTCTCGTGGTAAAAGATTCACGTTCAATTTCCACGTTTCCGTTCGCTGTGACAATTTATTTTACGCAACGTGACTTTTGTTATGTATTTTTCTTTATTTAATCTTTCACTTCCATTTTTTTCTTCTTAAACTTTTCTTAAGATAACAGTACAATTACAGTGGTTGTAGAATGTATTCGTAGTTTCTTAACTTCTTTTTTTATAATCAATGATATTTTACATATTCTCAGAAGTCTCTAAAATAGATGCAGTCCAAACAACATTTATCAGTTAATATAATTTGTGAAATTAACAAAAAAATGTGAAAAGTGGGTAAAAGTATTATAGGAGCAATAAGTATTTGTACGATTCTTATGACGAACCATTGAAAACTTGTTATCCTGTTTCAAGCACGAGAACTTATTCTTTTGCAGAACAACAGGAAAAATTTGGTTCCTAGCCCGTTGGAACGTGGCCGGTTCAAAAGATTCTTCGAGTGCATCGCCAAGATAATGGAGGCGCAGCTTCTATCTGCGTGTGAAGATAGCTTGAAAGATTTGATGGATTTTATCATTCGCGGCCAGGTGAACTATTTCGAGCTGTCGTATAAGAGCGAATCCATTCGGTAATTATTCGTCAATTTCAGCCTGTCAAATGCGAGTTCAACGTGAGCATAATCGTCAGCGGCGAGCAGCTCATCTTCGATCCGTCCTTTGATCAATTCAAGGATGTACTTTGCGGCATCTTGGACCGCATATGCGCGGCTGTTAAAAATTTCAATAAATTAGAGACGCAGCTGTACCTGGATTGGTCTGAGCCGTTGGACACTCTGAAAGTATCGTGGAGAATTCTTTTCTTTTTTTACAGTTGACTTTTCTTCTTGAGATTTACGAACGGAGGATTAATGATTAATTGGCTCACAAATTTCTCGCCTACAGCCTAAAATAGACGAGTCCGTGGTGAACGCCTACAAACAGGAAATCGTCGATTTGATCGATCGAGAAAAGCAGATTCCCGAGAAGCTGTTGGTCGCGTTGCAAATGTAACCATCAATCGTCAGCCTGATTACAATTTTCCCTCGATCACGGGTCTCTTCGTTACAGACACGAGCGTTTGTACAACAACGAAGAGTACCGAACGATGGAACGGTTTGTAAAGGACGAGAGCAAAACTCTCAAAGAATACGACGAAACGATAAAGCATTATCACGATCTCATGACGAATATTCCGGTGGACATTGAAAAGACGGAGTTCGCTGGCCTCTTCAAAGTGTCTAGAAAGATCTTTCTGGAGACGATCGTCGACAATGTCGCTGTTGTAAAGTGTCTTCTCACCGACACCCTCGTGAATAGGTACCAGCACGCAGCGAGAAAGTGAGTCTCTTGTTACCTTAAACGGGTATCGATAAAGTTATCCAAGGGAAAATTGATCAGGTAGCAGAAAGGTTGTTTCAGAGTCGCGGAGGAATACCAGGCTATAACTGATCGTGCTTTGGGCACGCCTGCCGACACAGCCGCCCTGATGGATCTGATAAGTTTCGTTAAAAGAGCCATAGACGGCTCTCTGAAGGACCTGGAGCAACGGCTTTACGAAATAATCGAGCACATCCTCCTCTTATCCGACTATCGCGTTCTTGCCGAAAGCGAGATAAACGTCACCAACACAGCGTTCCAGTGGTACCACAGGATACCTCAAGTCCTGGACGAGAACGAAGTCATCGTCGCCAACAAGACCATAGAGTTCCAGGAGGCACTTAGAGGTGTCGTTATAACTAAAGAAAAATATTGTTAAAAATTGTTAAATATTGGGAGAAAGGGAGACGTTCATATTTTAATCGAAATGGGTTGGAGATAGTTTTCGTATAAACGTGTTAAAGGATACAAATGTAAGAAAAGTAGCTGTAGAGAACATAGTCATGGTTGTCGAGGTATTCAGAAAAGTAAGGGTTGGTCGCTTGGTAGTAGCTGAGATTGAAAAATGTCTGCTTAAGTTTCAGGATAATTTCTTTTAAGATTAATACATTAGTAAGCAACGGTAGAATATACATTTGTGATTTATGCTCTTTTGATCGTTTCTGTGGTTCGTGAAAGATATTGTACAGTTTTTGGTTACATCGAACTGGCAACTCGAATCCATTCGTTTACTCGTAACGAGTCGACTTACCAGACCAAAAAATTAATGCCTTTCGCTCAACAATGCCCCAGCGTCGTTTTGCTCCCTTTATAATCCCATTCGTCGAGATCCGCGAAATAGCCTTCAGGTACATCCGTCACTTTTTTGTTCCATGAAAATTTACGCCCAGTTTAGAATTTTTTTGTAATCCAGGCCACCGGTTTCCAAACTATTCAAAAGTGCTCTCCGCCGAAAAAGAAAGAATTTCCGCGCAGAAGATGCGCGGACGAATATTTTCGTTACATTTATTTTGGAGTACCGTTGAACATTGACAGAAAAATGTTCGGTTTAAATTTCTTCCTTACGAATTCACCCTTTAACAATAATAATAACGTAAACTTCAATGTTCTCTCGTCAACAGTTAGGTACCGTAGGTTCGAGGACGAGCTGGACTCCTACGCGAAGCAAGTCGACGAAATCCAGTACTGGGGCGATATCGCGGAGGTGTTCAAGTACCAGAAGAGGGCCCAGAATCTGGAGAGCAGATTGATCGCAGCCATGGAGAAGATCGACAAGTTCAACGAAGAGGAGGCATCGTTCGACTGGGAGATCACGCAATATCCGCGGCGCAAGCAGATCGCAGATCAGCTGAAACCTTTCAAGCAGCTTTTCGACGCGATCTGCGACTTCTTGACCAAATACGACAAGTGGATGAACTCGATGGTCGGTACCTACGATCCCGAGGATATCGATAACGACGTGGGACTCGCGTACAGGTGGTCTCTTTTTCTCCTTTCGACGCAGGATTTTTATATGCGACTTGACCTTCTCTAAGAAATTAAAGCAATTAGTTCGAATCCTTTTGATACGTATTATTATATTTTTGGGAGGCTGATCTTTGAACGAGTAATACACGTATCATCTTCGATGTTTGGTAAAATGGGCTCAAGTGGGTTCGAAGAAATACGATATAAACATTGAATATTAAACACAAGCTTTCGTCAGAGAAATTTCAAAATATTCTTGTCTTATTCCAAGGAGTACTTCTCAAAGACGTTTCATAAATTAAGAACACGAAACTGACCATGAACTGACTGCGATAATTAATTCCGAATACATAATAACTATAATATAGTTATCCTAGCTCTATCGTAAGAGGTCAGAATTCTCAGTTAAAGTATAAATGGGTTCAATGATTAATAAGACACCTTGATCCGATCAGAACGATCTACAAACTGGAGAAGACCTTCCAAGAGCCAGACCTGAAGAACCTGGCGATCAGCGTGCGCGAGAAGATCGAGGAGTTCCGTGATCACATGCCGATCGTGAGCACGTTGGGCAATCCAGGGTTAAAGGCTCGCCATTGGGAGCAAATTTCGGAGATCATTGGCATTCCCATGAAAGTGGACGCCGATTTAACGCTGGCCAAGGTCCTGGATATGGGTCTGGGCGCGCTCGTCGAGAAGTTCGTGGGCATTTCGGATAACGCGTCGAAGGAAAACACTTTGGAGAAGGCTATCAATAAGATGCAAGAAGACTGGGCCAATTTATGCTTCACGGTGAACCCTTTCAAGGACACTGGCACCCACGTCATTGCGGGGGTTGACGACATACAGCTGCTTTTGGACGACCACATCATCAAGACGGTCACTATAAAGAACTCGCCCAACATAAAGCCGTTTGAAAATAGAATACTGTAAGCAGAAATGAAACCACTTCGGGGAATGGTGACTTACGAGCTTCGTTCTGTTCATTTTTACGTTCAGTTTCATTTTTAAGGGTGCAAAGATGCAAAGGATTCTCTATAAGGGGTTTTTAGGATTTTGTTTTTTAATTAGGTCATCTTTCACATTTAATTGTAACGCGTACTTTCATCGAACGAATAGGGTATGGGAGTTCAAGCTGCACTTGCTGCAAGACATTCTGGATCAATGGTTGCGGGTGCAGGCGATCTGGATGTACCTGGAGCCGATATTCACGTCTCCGGATATCCAGCAGCAAATGCCAGACGAGGGGAGGAAGTTCTCCGCGGTGGACAAAGCTTGGCGCGACATCATGAAGATCGTTCACTCGGATCCTCGAGTTCTCTCGGTCATCGAGATCGATAAAATGCTGGAGAAGCTGAAGAAGAGTTTCGGTCTGCTAGAGGACATTCAGAAGGGCCTGAACGACTACCTGGAAAAGAAACGGCTATTTTTCCCCAGGTTCTTCTTCCTCTCCAACGACGAGCTGCTGGAAATTCTGTCGGAGACCAAGGATCCCACACGGTGATTTAAACTCGAATCGTTTCACTCGATCGCTTCGACGACTCTGGGTCATTAATGACTCGGCTATTGGAAATGTTTCATAAAATAACGATTCGTGTTCTTGTTGGACTCCTTATTACAATAATTACTTTTAATAATTCCCTCGAGTCACAATATATCGAGAACCATGAAACGTTACGATTATACAAATATTATTTTTTCCACGGGTCAGAATCGATCCCAGAGTCCGCTACCCTCGCGACCGTCGCCCAATCCATGATTCGAGAGTTCGTACGATCGCGAGATCGCAATTTACCGGGATCGCGACGCTGCGTTACAGAGTTCAACCGCATCTGAAGAAGTGTTTCGAGGGTATACACAGGCTGAAGTTCAACGAGGATCTCGAAGTGCTCGCGATGACGTCCACAGAGGACGAAGAGGTGGACCTGGTGGACATAATATCCACTTCAGCCGCCAGAGGACAAGTGGAGAAGTGGCTCATCGAACTGGAAGCAATTATGCGGCGGAGTGTGCGGCATGTGGTGGACCAGGCGATACGGGCGTATCCTACCAAACCGAGGAAAGTCTGGGTGCTGGAGTGGCCTGGACAAACGATCCTTTGCGTTGGCAAGACGTATTGGACTTTGGGCATAGAGGAGGCGATGTTGCACGGTGTTCAGGGCATGAACAAGTACTTGGACCAGTGTCAGACGGAGCTGAACGAGATTATATTGATCATCAGAGGGAAACTGTCTAAGCAGAATCGCATCACCCTGGGTAACTATTGAACTTACTCTCGTCGAGGATCGTTACATACGTGTTACATATTTCAGAGGCTCTCGTCACGCTGGACGTGCACGGCAAGGATGTGCTCGCAGACCTCTGCGAGGAGAAGGTCATTAAGAACACCGACTTCAGATGGCTTTGTCACTTGCGATACTACTGGCTGGTTAGAATCATCCTTCGAGTAGAACAATCTTCTATCAACGTTTGGTCGTTCCATAAGTCTATGCTTCCTATCTATGCCTGCGATAGAGAGTTCGTTCCCTGGTGTCGTTGAACCCAAGAGCAACCTTCCTTGCAATTGCTTGAAACTAGAGTTTTACGGGGACTCCAAGTACTTGCCTCGATGAAACGTAAAAATGGAGAGGGCTTATCTTTCTATTCTCTCTCTTGGTCGGCTTATGGTGGGTTCGTTAGAACAAGAACCCTCCTGCTGGTATTAAGAATCAGTCATCAGGCGTCCTCTTGTCGTTTTACAAACATTGATAATAGGCTAACGCCTGGCACCATGGGGCGAGCCCTTCTGACTCTCGATAACCTTGGACACTAGACTATGCCTGCGGCAATCGAGGCTTTTCCTGCAGCCAGACGTTTACGAGTGTTTTTTTTTTCTAGGAAGAGAACATGTGGGCCTACATGATCAACTCCTACCAGCGGTACGGCTACGAATACCTCGGCAATTCCTCGAGACTGGTGATCACTCCACTGACGGACCGTTGCTACCGAACCCTCTTCGGCGCTCTCAGTCTCCACCTGGGCGGTGCTCCGGAGGGTCCAGCCGGCACCGGAAAGACGGAAACGACCAAGGATTTGGCGAAGGCGGTAGCCAAGCAATGCGTCGTGTTCAACTGCTCCGAGGGACTGGACTACATGGCTCTAGGGAAGTTCTTCAAAGGTCTGGCATCCTGCGGTGCCTGGTCCTGCTTCGACGAGTTCAACCGAATAGACCTGGAGGTCCTGTCTGTAGTCGCGCAGCAGATCTTGACTATCCAACGGGCGATCAACAGTGGCGCGGAAAAAATGATCTTCGAGGGAACGGAGATCTTCTTGGACCCAACCTGCGCTATCTTCATCACGATGAACCCTGGCTACGCTGGCAGGTCCGAGCTACCGGACAATCTGAAAGCGTTGTTCCGTCCCGTCGCCATGATGGTGCCCGATTACGCGCTGATCGCCGAGAACACCCTCTACTCGTACGGCTTCTATAACGGCAGACCCCTCGCCGTGAAGATCGTCACAGCTTACAAGCTCTGCTCGGAGCAGCTGAGCAGCCAGCCCCATTACGACTACGGCATGAGGGCCGTCAAATCGGTCCTGGTAGCCGCTGGCAACCTGAAACTCAGGTATCCGGACGAGTCGGAGGACATTCTGATGCTGAGGAGTATCCTGGACGTAAACCTGCCCAAATTTCTCGTCCACGATCTACCCTTGTTCGAGGGCATCGCCTCGGATCTTTTCCCCGGGGTTGTTCTTCCTGCTCCCGATTACACCCACCTGAACGCCTGCACGTTCGATGCATGCGCCGAGGCGAACATTCAATGCACGGACTTCTTTCTGGAGAAGATACAGCAGATATACGAAATGATGATCGTGAGGCACGGATTCATGATCGTCGGGCTCCCGTTCAGTGGCAAGACCTCCGCGTACAGGATGCTGGCCGATTGCCTCGGCCTCCTGGAGGACCGCAAATTGATGGACGAACACCGGGTGGAGATAACGGTTATTAATCCTAAGGCGATCACCATGGGCCAATTATACGGGCAATTCGATCCGGCGTCGCACGAATGGAGCGACGGTATACTAGCTGTCAGCTACAGAGCGTTCGCGACCTCCACCAATCCGAACAGGAAGTGGCTGGTCTTCGACGGGCCGGTCGACGCCCTGTGGATCGAGAACATGAACACCGTGCTGGACGACAACAAAAAGCTCTGCCTGACCTCGGGCGAGATCATCCAGCTGGCGCCCACGACCAATCTGATCTACGAGCCCATGGATCTCGAAGTAAAGAATCCAGATTTCGGAAATATTTTCTGAATATTGTTTGTTTTCTTCACGACCAATCTGATCTACGAGCCCATGGATCTGGAAGTAAAGAATCTAGATTTCGGAAATATTTTCTGGACATTGTTTATTTTCTTGAGGAAAGAGAATGTAGATTCTTTGGGTACTTGGATCGGTATAGAGTTTATCAGGAAGTGGACGTGTCGATCTATAATATTGGGAAGATCTATGGTTCCTTTACAAGACTTTAAAGTCACTCTCATGTTAAAGTTAATCTCGTGGGCTTTTCTTACTTTTCTTTTTGTATTCGAGGAATAACTGATTCGAAGACAACAACGACCTTGAATACTAGGATTTTGAGATAGCCTCGATCTACTTATTATATAAAGTAATCATCGAGCGTTCATATCGCGTAGTTATCGATATATCTTCTTCATTTTATGAATGTTAGTTATTTGAGATGTCGAACCGCAATAAAGATAACGATATTTAGTTTGTTTACTTCCAGTGAAGTTTAGCACGAACTCCTTTTATTCTAAACGCTCAGGATCTCCAGAAAAATTGAACGAAACTTATCAACATTATTCTCGTATATTCGAGTAATACCAGAAGGAGTTATTTAAGGCGATAAGGCCACAGTGACTCACACTTTACGTGTCGACTTTGGGAACTATCGATTTTCTTTTGTACAAAAAAAAATGGGCCACCCGAGTAACTCTCATATCGTTAAAGATGAAAAGAAGCCTATCGCACAAAGTGAACGTAAAAATATAACGTTTTGTTAAAAACGACGCGACCTTGACATTTTTTACCACTTCAACTAACGAGCAAGCTCGCCGTTACATGTTCCATTGACGTTAAACGAATTTTACCTTAAGCGAATTCTCGTTTTAAGCAACGTTACGATCGCTTGGGTTGCTTTAATTGCAAGGTGACTGATATCTGACGTAATAACAGGTTGCATCGCCGGCCACGGTTTCGAGATGTGGCATGATTTATATGGAACCAGTCAGCTTGGGCTGGACACCTCTGTTGACCTCCTGGTTGAACACGTTGCCAGACACTTTTACGGATCACATCAAACATCACTTGGACAGCATGTACACGAGATTCTGCCCACCTTTGCTGCATCTAGTTCGGAGAGCGGGAATTAAGGTTCGAAAGATTCTAGCTTTCGTAGACCAATCTAGGATTTAGCGTTAAAATATATATCTATCTCTTTAGGACTTGATAACAATGCCCGACGCCAACCTAGTAAGATCCGTGATGTATCTGTTCGACTGTTTCCTCGACGACTTCCACGACGAGAAGTATCTCCAAACGTTATCCGATTTGGACATGAGAGCGCAAGTGGAGGTAGTTCAAAATCAACATCATTACTAACCGATAAGTAACTAGTTCGTGATTTCAATCGGCAACTAATTACGTTTCTTTCGAGTAGCTTCGTGTGCTTATAATTTCCGAGATATTGGACCATATAAGTTTATCTCGGCTCGTATTTCAGGGTTGCTTCTTCTTCTCCTGCATTTGGGCGATAGGTGGCACCTTGATGGTGGACTCTCGCGACTCTTTCAGCGAGCTCTTCAGAGCCCTGACGCAGAGGGAGTTCCCCGAGGACGTCAGGGAACGTTTCGACATTTCCGAGGACACCGCAGACCCGCCGAAACCGTACGTGGTGAACTTGCCGTTAACAGGGAGCGTATTCGATTACAAGTACATCAAAGAGGGCAGAGGCAGATGGAGGCCGTGGACGGAGGATCTGGCAGACGTTCCGTCGATCCCTAGCGACATGCCCGTGAATCAGATCATCGTCCCAACGATCGAGACCGCTCGTTACTTTCACCTGTTCAAGCTCCTCATTTGCCATCGCAAACCAGTGCTGGTGGTTGGTCCAACGGGGACCGGAAAGTCCGTGTACATCATGGAGTTTCTGCTGAAGAACGATCCGGAGACGTTCAAGCCGATGTTCGTGATATTTTCGGCGCAGACCTCGGCCAATCAGACCCAGGAGATCATCATGAGTAAACTGGATAGGAGGAAGAAGGGACTATACGGAGCTCCGCCAGGGAAACATTGGGTGGTGTTCGTGGACGACCTTTCCATGCCACAGAAAGAGGAATTCGGGGCACAGCCCCCTATAGAGTTGCTGAGGCAGTGGTTGGACCACTGGACGTGGTACGACTTAAAGGAAATGGCGCCGATAGAGCTGGTGGACGTTCAGTTGGTATGCGCGATGAATCCACCGTCCGGTGGCCTCGATGTTACACCGAGGTTCAAGAGGCACTTCTTCACTCTGGGCATCTCAGAATTTTCCGACGAAGTTCTGACCGTTATATTCAGCACCATAGTGTCCTGGCATCTCAACAGGAGAGAGTTCCCAGACTATTTCTTGCCTTGCATCGAGTACATCGTCTCGGGCACACTGGACGTATACAAGGAAACCAGGAAGCATCTTTTGCCCACTCCAGCCAAGTGTCATTACTTATTCAACTTGAGGGATTTCTCGAGGGTGATCCAGGGCGTGCTGCTGTCCACGCCTGAAACTGTCAGCGACACCGTAAGCATGAAATTACAATACAGGGTGTCCCAAAAGTCGTGGAGGAGCCGGAAATGGGAGGTAGCTGAGACGATTCTGAACAACAATTTCCTTTGCAAAAATGTCGGATGGGGCTTCGTTAAGGAGATATTAAGCGAAAACCCCGACCAATCAGAGCGCGCGTAGACCGTTGGAGCGGCCGCGGTAGCGAAGGCTACGCGCTAGGCGGCAGCGTCAATGTCCTTCGATGCACGTCGAGTCGCTTGTTCGCGTACAAGCGCGGCCGTCAGCGCGTAGCCTTCGCTACCGCGGCCGCTCCAACGGTCTACGCGCGCTCTGATTGGTCGGGGTTTTCGCTTAATATCTCCTTAACGAAGCCCCATCCGACATTTTTGCAAAGGAAATTGTTGTTCAGAATCGTCTCAGCTACCCCCCATTTCCGGCTCCTCCACGACTTTTGGGACACCCTGTATATACGCGTTGATAGCATCCTTATCATTGGATGCTTCTGTATCATCGCGTTAGTCTACTTCGGGTTTGTTCGATCTTTTTACCAAGAGATTGTTCGAAGATTAGCACCATTAAACGACAAAATATTTTTGACCATTCAATAATAAATAATTTATTTCAGAGGCCATCTCATCGCATTTCTTAACTTTTTGTTTCATTGAAGTTAATCGATTTATCCAACGAACGGCACATTTATGCGTCTATTTCCTCTGACTTTAAATGAAATAAACGAAAATATTAAGCTTCTATGTCAAGGTGGGCATGTCGCGTTTATGGGTGCACGAGGTCCTACGCGTGTACGGGGACCGCCTGGTGGACGATATGGACATAAAATGGCTCGTTAAACAGATACGATCGACCGTGTCCTCGTACATGGACGACGACTTGGATCGGATGTTTGAAGATTTGATCACAGAGCCGGAGGGTTCGGTACGCGTTCTCCTCGATTTGGATTCGTCCAAGTTAACAATGTCTTCAATGTTCTTCGGATTTCCATCAGAGTTTCGATTGTCATTAGGTGACGTACATGGAGCTACGAAATCTGATCTACTGCGACTTCCAGGACCCTCTGGCAGACAGGAAACTGTACACAGAGGTGGAGAATTTGGATGACCTTACCGCCACGGTAGAAGAATATCTCGCGGAGTACAACTCTATTTCAAGGACGCCCATGAACCTTGTTCTCTTCAGGTCTCACCTCTTGGAATTCTCTGTAGCAATTCGTTACTTGGTTTCGTCAATAGTAAACAAACGAGAGAAATAATATCGATTACTACTCCTCATTCCATTCATGTAGCTTTATTATTTAACTAAACGTCATCACCTGGTTCTCTTCAAGTTATACAATCTTCTGCTTGAATACTACGAAGACAAGGAATGAAACGAATGACCTAATACATTTTTTAAAATAAAAACCAGACCGTAATTTCATCAGACAACTTTACTTCCACTAGATTCGCCATAGAGCACCTCTCGCGGATCTGTCGGGTGATGATGCAGCCGCGCAGTCACGTGCTGCTGATAGGCGTGGGTGGTTCGGGACGTCAATCTTTAACGAAACTGGCAGCCCACATCGCGGATTACGAGCTCTTCCAGGTGGAGATGTCCCAGCAATACGGCGCGTACGAGTGGCACGAGGACGTGAAGAGTATCCTGAGGAAGAGCGCCGCCAGCGACCTGCACACCGTGTTCTTGTTCATGGACACACAGATCAAGGAGGAGACGTTCCTAGAGGACATCAGTAACCTGCTGAACTCGGGCGAGGTCCCAAACATATTCGCCGCCGACGAGCTGTCCGACATCTGCGAAAAGATGAGAGTGATCGATCGTCAAAGAGACAGATCCGTGCAGACGGATGGCAGTCCGGTGGCTCTGTTCAATTTCTTCGTGCAGACGGTTCGCGAGCATCTGCACGTAGTCGTGACGATGTCGCCGATCGGTGACAATTTTCGCGTCAGAATTCGAAAGTTTCCCGCTCTGGTGAACTGTTGCACGATCGACTGGCTCCAGTCATGGCCGGAGGACGCTCTACTGGCCGTGGCGACCAAATTCCTAGGCGAGATCGACCTGACGAAGAAGGAACGCGACGCCTGCATCGAGATGTGCCAGTATTTCCACACGTCCACCCAGGACCTGTCGCAGGAGTTTTTCAGACGAGCGAAGAGATACAGCTACGTCACTCCCACGTCGTACCTCGAGCTCATCAACACGTTCAAGGATCTCCTCGAGAAGAAGAGGAAGGAGGCGCTCGACGGGAAGGGACGGTACGAGGCGGGCCTGGAAAGGTTGGACAGTACTCACAAGCAAGTGGAGAAGATGCAAGAGATTTTAGTCGCCTTGCAACCGAAGCTCCTCGTCGCCGCCAAAGACGTCGAGGCAATGTTCCTCGACGTTCAAAGACAGAACGACGAGGCCGTCGCTATCGAGCAAGTCGTCAAGAGCGACGAGGAGGCCGCCTTGGTAAGGTGTTGCCGGTTTCGTGATCAAAGTCGATCTTATTCGGGGCAGTCCCCGCTTCGTAAATGCCACTCGTCGCTGTCTTTTTTGCGTTTTCTAATTTCTTTTCCGGGTATAGTTGGCTGGCCTCGCGCCGAGTTGCGTTGACGTTAATGAGATTCGGACGTTATGCGTTTGCTTGGGCGTGTTTGCCCCAAGGAGCTGGCATTCAAATCCCGAAAAAGGGAACAAAGTGAAACGCTGCTTTTGAGAGAGACAAACTTGCCATGAATGGAAGTGTACTGAGTAGCATAAAAGTAACGGGTTACCTACAGAAGAGGTACCAATCACCGAGATGCCACCGTAGAGGTTTAAGTACTCAGGGGGCATCCTTATTCATAAATCAATTTTCTTTTAATTTTTTCAGAACGAAAGAGCTTCGTACTCGGCATTGATTTTTGGTCTTTGATATATTAAACTTCAACCCCTGTAAATTCACACTGTTAGGCGACGTCCAAAGACTACTCGACATTGCCCTTGTGTCCTCAGGTCGTTGCAGGAGAAGCCGATGCCATTCGCGCGGAATGCGACGCCGACTTGCAAGAAGTGATGCCGATACTGAATGCAGCCAACGCAGCATTAAACACTTTAACGCCTCAAGACATCCAGATAGTGAGGTCCATGAAGAGACCACCGGCTGGTGTTCGACTAGTCATGGAAGCTGTTTGCATCCTCAAGGTACTCTAATTGAACCCCTAGCATCGAGTTTCAAACAATGAAATATAGAACCTCGTTCAGTTTTTTTTTCGACGATTTGATGGCGTCGACGTTTTGTACATGGAACTTACCATGTCGAGACTCGTGGTTTTCTAGTAATCCACAGAGGTCAACATACTGAAACACACTCGTTCAAACATATAGAAATTATTCAAAAGTTAAGTGACATCGATGTCCAGTACCTGAAATACCTGAAATTTCACGATTTCTGATTGAATTACTCCTCGAATACGAATACAAACCATAACCGAGACACAATCCTACGTAGGACGTGAAACCAGAGAAGGTCCAAACCCCGACAGGAGCCGTGGACGACTACTGGAAGGCTTCGCTCCGCGTATTAAGCGACATGAGGTTCCTGGAATCTCTATTGACGTTCGACAAGGACAACATCCCGGAGCGAATCATGACGAAAATTCGCACTACGATCCTAACGAACCCTGACTTCGATCCAGAGAGGATCCGACACGTGTCCACGGCCTGCGAGGGTCTCTGTCGATGGGTGTTCGCGTTGTCGGAGTACGACGTCGTGGCGAAGATCGTGGCGCCTAAGAAGCAGGCCCTAGCTAAGGCCGAGGCCGATTACTCGCAGGCGATGGAGCAACTGAACCTGAAGAGGCTCCAGTTGCAGGAGGTTCGGGACCGTCTGGCGAAGCTGGAAGAGCTGCTGGCTGAGAGGAGGGCGGAGTACCAAGCGATGACCGACGAGGTGACGGAGTGCGAGGAGAAGCTGAGAAGGGCTAGAGAGCTGATCGGCGGCCTCGGCGGGGAGTACACCAGATGGTCGGACACGGCCAAGATGCTAGGCGAACGTTATTACAAGCTGACAGGAGACATACTGATCGGGTCTGGCGTCGTGGCCTACCTAGGAGTGTTCACCGCGCAGTACAGGCAGCAGCAGATCGAAAACTGGGTGGAAATCTGTTCGGAATTGGACGTGTACTGCACGCAGGACTTCCAGCTCACCCAGGTCCTCGGCGATCCTGTGTTGATCAGGTCCTGGAACATTTTTGGGTTACCCAGCGACCTCTTCTCCGTGGACAACGGCATCATCGTCACGAGCTCGAGACGATGGCCACTGATGATCGACCCTCAGGGACAGGCCAACAAATGGGTGAAAAACATGGAAAAGGAGGCCAACATCAACGTGATCAGGTTGTCCCAGAGCGATTATATGAGGGTTCTGGAGAATGCTGTCCAGTTTGGACAGCCAGTTTTACTGGAGAATGTCGGCGAAGAGCTGGACGCTGCTCTGGAGCCTCTCTTGATGAAACAGACGTTCAGGTCTGGCGGTACCGTGTGCATCAAGATCGGGGATTCTATTATTCAGTACTCCGACAACTTTCGGTGCGTTAGGGGGTACGTGCTAACCGTTTCGAGAAGGATCGTTGCGACCTTTTTGTTTTTAGGTTCTATATCACGACCAAGTTACGCAATCCTCATTATTTACCTGAAGTCGCGGTGAAGGTTACCTTGCTGAATTTCATGATCACGCCCATCGGCCTCGAGGATCAGCTTCTGGGGATTGTCGTGGCGAAGGAGAGGCCGGATCTCGAGTCTGAGAAGAATCAGCTGATCGTTCAGGGGGCTGCTAATAAAAAGTGGGTGATGTTTCTGAAGAGTCTAAGAATAACAGTATTTTCCATTCGAGGCATTCGTAATTATTTGAGCCTTTGCATTCGAGGTTTTTTTTTCGACTATCTACTCGAGATGCTTTCTTGGCATTCTATTGTCACGAATGCTAAGCTTAGATCGACTTCGAAAATGAGATCTCTAGTTTGAGATTTGAGAATCAGACCTAAAGAAATGAAACCTAAATAAACATTATTGCTGGCTGATTTGCTTAATGGCGACCTAGAGTCACCTCCAAAGGGTGAATTGACGATGTTTCTCCGTAGGATGCTGAAGGAGATAGAGGATCGGATCCTGGAGGTTCTGTCGACCTCCGAGAAGAACATCCTCGAAGACGAGACCGCGATCAGTGTTCTGAGCTCGTCGAAGCTTCTTTCAGACGAGATCGTCGCGAAGCAAACCGCTGCTGAGATCACGGAAATGTCCATCGACGAAGCGAGATTAAAATACACTCCCATAGCCGTCTACAGCACTGTCCTCTTCTTCACGATCGGTACAAATTTTATAGATAAAAGACCACGATTAGAATTCAGGAAATACTCTCTTTCAATTTTGCACATTCGTAGATCCATCCTCAATCTTCCTGTAAGTTTACAAGCGCGACGAAGCGTGGTAGTAAAATTTCAACGTTGACCGTTATTTTCCACGATCCCATAAACCACGTTTTCTATTCTGTCGATTTTGAACAAGGTCTCGTAAAGTACCTTTCGAATAGAGCGTAGCAATTTTCAACAGCTGTTCTGGCGAACATCGATCCCATGTACCAGTACTCGTTGGTCTGGTTCGTGAATCTCTTCAGGAACACCATCGACAACACGGATCCCGTCGAGGACATACAGCAACGACTGAAGGATCTCACGAGAGAATTTACCCGCTCGTTGTACGTGAACATATGTCGCTCGCTGTTCGAGAAGGACAAGCTTTTGTTCTCGCTGCTGCTTTCGGTGAACCTGCTGAACAAGAAGGGGGAAATATCGATGCCCCAATGGATGTTTCTGTTGACTGGCGGCGTAGGCCTCGAGAATCCTTTCGCAAATCCCACGAATTGGCTACCCTCGAAATCCTGGGACGAGCTGTGTCGCTTGGACAGCGTGCCTGGGTTTCAGGTACGATATACAGTACCGTAAGTATTCGTACCTTCGATATCTATCGAAGAAATTCGCCCAAATTAAATTTTAGGTTCAATGTTTCCGAATAAACTTTATTCGTATACATATTTACAAGATTTATTTGGAAAGATCAAATCTAACGTAGACAAATTTCTTTAATAAACATAGGAGGTACGAATATTTATGGAGCTGACTGTATATAAACTTCATAGCATTGATTTCATAATAAATGATTTTTCAACTTTTCATTCTTCCAGTCGTGTATTTTCATGAAAGTCTCGTCTCCTATTTTTTTTACAGTTTCCTGTGAAAAATGCTTCGATTTCTACAAATAATTTCTCAATTTCGTAAAATTTCGTCGGGCGTACAGAAATAACAAACTTTGAATTTCATAGTCACGTTTCACAGCATATGTTTTTTTTTCCTCTGCGAATACTTTATGAACAACCCGCGCAAAGTTCGTTGGCTTTGATTTCTGTGTTTAGGGCTTCAAAGATTCTTTCGCGAGAAACATAGACGCTTGGAAGGTCGTCTTTGATCATATGGAGCCTCACACTTTACATTTCCCAGCGCCTTACGACGCAGCTACCCCTTTTGAGAGAATGCTCGTGTTGCGTTGTATCCGCCCTGACAAAGTCTTGCCTGGCGCTCAGCAATTTGTGGAAGGTAGGAGACCTCCGTAAAGGTAGACCGTTTCTTGTTGATCGACGTGGTAATTGAACGTCGCGTTTACAAGTTAATACCAAACAAATACCACGGAAACTCGGTCGACGTACAATATCGGAGTTGTTGCATTTCAGTGTCTGCAATTTATTTGGTCCGAAATCAAAGCTTAACTGGGAATTTTATAATCGATCCTTTTCTTATTTCTTTTCGTTTCAACCGTCTCTGTTATGTCAACATTTGGTTACCTTTGAAGGAGATTGTAATATTAAGCAACGTATTCCGAGTCCTTTTCTATGTATTCATTATTTATATTTCCATTCTCCTTTTCCATCTTTCGTGAAATCAACGTATACGCGATTAATTAAAAGTAACGTAGAATAACAAAGGGAATTTCAAGGCCCTAGTTCAACCTAGGAGAATGAGAGAAATGCCAGTGCTTTTCGAAACAACGAATGGTTCCGTGTATATAGCATTAAGATGCGCCCAAGCTTCGTTGCACGCCAATTTTCACTCCCCGTTTCGACAGAACAATTGGGTCGCCGCTACATCGAGGTGCCGCCCTTCGATTTGCTGTCTTCCTTCTCGGACTCTTACTCCTGCATCCCTCTCATATTCGTCCTGACGCCCGGCGCCGACCCCATGGCGATTCTACTGAAATTCGCCGACGACCAAGGCTTCGGCACCAACAGATTGTTCTCCCTGTCTTTGGGTCAAGGACAGGGCGTTATCGCCACGCAACTGATCGACGAGGGAGTGAAGAACGGCACCTGGGTGGTCCTGCAGAATTGTCACCTCGCCAAGAGCTTCATGCCAGAGCTGGAAAAGGTGAAAAAGCAAATTTTTAATTCCAGTCTCTGCGAGGATTAAACTTTCGTGCTCCATATAAATAGCTTTCCTTGCATCCACAACTGTCTCGATTATCCATCGTTTTCTTCCTTCTTCTTGCGAAGTGAAATCTGTGATTTCTTTTTTTACAGATTTGCGAGACTTTCACTCCAGAGACGGTGCACCCAGATTTTCGATTATGGCTGACCAGTTATCCCGTGGACCACTTCCCAGTCAGCGTTCTCCAGAACGGCGTTAAAATGACCAACGAGCCACCGAAAGGGTTGCGCGCAAACATAATCAGATCTTTCTTGCAGGTAACGATCAAACGCGAATATATACACCTGCAAATAAATAAGAGATACAGCCAAGAAAGAACGAGCAAAGGCGTAAAATAATTTTAAATGAAACGTCAGGACCCGATATGCGACGAGGAGTTCTTCGAAACGTCGAAGCAGAGCGAGACTTTCAAGAAACTTCTCTTCGCTCTGTGCTTTTTCCACGCGATCATCCAGGAACGGAGACAGTTCGGTCCGATTGGTTGGAACAATCAGTACGAGTTCAACGAGACCGATCTGCGTATCAGTGCGTTGCAGCTGAAGATCTTCTTGGATCAGTACGACGATGTGCAGTTCACTGCCTTGAAGTACTTGACAGGTATGAATGCGCGAGTACAGGTCCTGAAAATCACTGCAATTATTCAAAGAATTTTCAAAAAACAGATTCCTAAAATTTACTTCGAAACTGAATGTAAATACCGTATTCGTCATTTCCTTTTCATTTGTTTACCTCGAGTTCTACATCTACCTCCTATCAACATAAAGTGTTCAATAATGTAAAGCAAACGTAGAACTTTCGATAACTTCGACCTCCAAAATGAACGCATTATAATTACAACGTCCATACTTTTCCTTTTCACCTGCTCGGCCTCGAGACCTTTTTATAAATCTCTAGCACAGCGTCGAATTCGAATCAGTGTCGCTTGGTATCTGTTCGAATCACGGTAACGCGTCAACGTGATATGGCGTCTCCGATGATTCGGGGACAAGTTTAGGGCACTCGATGGCTCGATTCGTAATTAATTTGTCCCAGGCGAATGCAATTACGGCGGACGCGTGACAGACGAATGGGACAGGAGAACTTTGATCACCATCCTGGCGAGATTCTACTGTCCGGAGCTCATCGCGCAGGAGAGATACTTGTTCGATCCGAGCGGCGTGTACTATGTGCCCCCAGTCAAGGATCACAGCGAGTTTCTGGATTACGTTAAGTCTTTTCCGATGGCCACTGCGCCCAGTGTCTTCGGGATGAACGAGAACGCTGACATCATCAAGGATCAGCAGGAGACCACGCTGATGTTGTCGTCGATATTGCTCACCCAGGTGAGGATTGCACGAAAATAACGTTCGACTTTACTTTCACACGAATAATCACGTTTCTTTATTCAATAGTCTGTTCAGGGTATCAAAGTAAGTAATTTTAACAATGATTTCGAAGATACGGTAAGAGATTTTCCGATACTTTTTACTATTTTATGCGTATCGTAGCTGAGGAAGTCGAGGAGAAAGGTGAGAGAATGTTTTCTATGTTAATTCTGCGAATAAATAATAGACGTGATACGTTCAAGAAGGAAATAGCACCCTGGAAGTGATAATATTGACGCTAAACCTACACGACGTTGATTTGTAACTATTTCTATCGTGAATTCATATACATACATGTAACATATAAGAACTGTATACAAATATTTGAAAACGGTCATTCGACCGATCGTGGTATGTTTAGTGTTAAAATACGTATTATTATAAATTGACAGGATATACGTAAGACGATACGGGTCCAATTAGAATACTTTTTTATAAAGAGTTACTTTTCATGTCCGGTACATCTTATCCTCTCTTTTCCGCGGAGGTACGCTTCTTCGCCCCCCGGCCAGGGCTCCATTAATTTTTCAACAGTATTTTCCGTCGTACATTTCTTTTTCACAACCATCGGGGCGACAATTATTCCGCGGATAAAAGGCAATTCCGTTCGCTGGCCGCGTTCCAAAACGCGACAAGGAGGAATCGCGGTCCAGGGGTGCACGTCGTTCGGCCGGCGTACAAAAATATTATCAATTCCAGTCGAACAAAAATTTCCCAGCGGGATCGACGATGTCGGGCGTTATCATTATCTTCGTTCATTAATTTCGAGACAATTAAGGCGCGCTCTGGGCCGCCCACAGGACGGTTTCGTGTTTCGCAAATATAATAGCGTTCCTTAAATGTATTCTGCGTGACGAATTGTGCGGATTACTAACGAGGCACCGTGTTGCTCCGTCCTCCAATTAGGACACCGGTGGAACGGAAACAGACACAGGGAAATCGCCCGACGAGACCGTCTACGGGGTGGCGTCTGATATTCTGTCAAAGTTGCCGAAGGACTTCGATCTCGTCGCGGCACTCGAGAAGTATCCGACGTTATATAATCAAAGCATGAACACGGTGCTGGTCCAGGAAATGGGAAGATTCAACAAGCTTCTGCAAACGATCAGGAATAGCCTCATAAATGTTCAAAGAGCGATCAAAGGTAAACGACTAAGCGATAACCACCCTCCCCCGGGCTGCTCGATCGATTTTTCACGCGCTGACGAACGCCGATCTAAGGTCTGGTGATCATGAACTCGGACCTCGAGGAAGTCTACGTATCGATAATTACCGGGAGGATACCGAAGATGTGGATGAGGAACTCCTATCCCTCCATGAAGCCGTTGGGTAGCTACGTTCAGGATTTCTTGAAGAGGCTGGCGTTCCTTCAGGTATCCTCAATTAACGAGAAAGTTGCTCTATCTATGTCGGTACCGCGGCAAAAATATTGCTTGTTAGTATTGACACGACGATGAAGCTAATTATAGCTCGACTTGTGGATAGTCTTCAGTATTTAATCGTACAATTTTAACCCTTTAACTTGTAACAACGCGCGAGACTCGCGGCACAGAATTTGAGTAAAACACGAACAAAAATGGAATATTATACTCGATTATGGCATTCACGATCCTGCAGTAAACGGTAGGTTAAAGGGCTAATAAGAACGTACTCGCGACAGCGCATAGCGTTTATTCGCGCTAGAAAGTCCAATAATTGCGTCAACGATATCAAACAGAACAAAGAAAAGTTTCATCTTACTTGGGCAGATGTTATCAAACAGATTAATTTTGATCACCCCTCCTATTTTCATTGTTGTTCGAATTCGTTTAATCTTCTCGCAGTTGTGGTACGACGAGGGACCACCAACGTCCTTCTGGATCTCTGGTTTCTACTTCACCCAGGCGTTTCTCACCGGGGCGCGTCAGAATTATGCGAGGAAATACTCGATCCCCATAGATCTCCTCATCTACGATTTCATGCCTCTGAAACAAACTGTATTCCCCGAGCCGCCAGCCGACGGTGTTTACATTTACGGTCTCTTCCTAGACGGTGCCCGTTTCAACATGAAAACGATGAAGCTCGACGAGTCCCTGCCAAAGATTCTGTACGATGACGTTCCCTACGTGAGTCTTTTTCTTGCATCCTACTTCGTAAGTACGCAAAAGTGCGCGAGGATTCGCGTAAATACAACGATATTTATGTTATTATTCGAGTTTCAACTCCTACAAAGTTACTCGCGTTGAAAATTTATTTTCCTATTCTCTATATTAAATGACGAGGTTCAAAGAAAGGGTGTTTGAGCTCGTGAAAAATGTAGCGTGCTAGCCATTTTCTTCTTGTTCGCGTGTATGTACACTGACAAGAAGAGACCCAGAAGTGGAAAAGCTCACTTTTAATGAGACATGTACCAAATTGTAGGTCTTGACATGGGTTACGAAACTTGTTAAGGAGCGCCCACTTTTCAGCCGTATATGACCACATATGTTTGAGATAAACGGAATTACGCGTCAAAATATTGACAAAAACGATGACGTTGGCTCGGGGAAAGTGCCGATATATAATTAATATTTGTAGCAGAAACCAAACGATACTGAACGCATACGAGTAACAAGATGGCGACGTGCATAGTAGATGTGCAACCCCTAAGAGAAGGATTGCGTTATCAGTTACAAATATTCATCAAAAAAGAGAGATATCAGAGCTTCCTGTTCCTTTCACGAAGATATACAAATCAACGCCATTCTATCCATAATATTTTTTAATTTCAACCCCTTTTATCTTCAAAGCGAGCGGTCACATACGTTCTTGTACTTCAGAGGCTCGAGATGTTATATTTTCATAGTTGGTCAGATCTAACATAGTTATATAGCTAATAATAATATTCTCGAACCGTTAATCCGAATCTACAATGTTTCTAAATTTTACATTCTTATATTTCTAATCTTTTGCTCTCGTTCCGCGATCTATTCCGATCGCTCTGCAATTTATTTCTTCAGATCTGGCTGATACCGGCGAAAAGGGACGAAGTACCGGAGAAGCACACGTACACTTGTCCCGTGTACAAAACCGCGGAGAGGAAGGGCGTTCTGTCGACGACTGGCCACTCGACGAACTTCGTAATCGCCATATGGCTCCCGACGGAGCATCCGCCGGAGCACTGGATTCTGCGAGGCGTAGCTATGCTCTGTCAATTGTCCGATTAAACCAATTATTACGTACATCGCGAGCTGCGATTACTCTACGTGGATCGTTCTGGTCAGGATAGTTCGAAAAGATTCATTCTATCTCTGTCTCAATCTTGACCTTCCGCGAATTAGGTATTATCGAAATATCGAGTGGATAAAGGAGTATACGTTGTGAAATGAATAGTATTCTCGTGAAAACGTATAAATTTGGAAAGTTCAGTCTGATCCATATAGTTTAAACTGAGTCCAGTGTGAGTTTTCTAAATTATTGCCCTTTTTATCTAAGTATATTATGGTGAACGGTGAACAATCAAGAAGAACGAACTAATTTCTCTGTGTTCGTTTTGCCATACTGATTTTTGGAATGCTCCTCCTCGTGGCAGGTCGAAAAGTAAAAATCGATTTTCCGTCCACGTTGAACCGTAAACCACCCTTAACTCTTTGCAACACGGTAGCCCGGGCACGGGTGACCAATTAAGATAATGTTCATTCGAGCACCCCGGTAAGCATCAGTGACCACTTGGTTCGGCAACCCCCGCACATGCACACCGGCTCGCAAGGTTACCACATTTTCATGTGTTCCGTCACTTTCGTTTTCCATCGATCTCCCTCGCCCCGAATCCCCTCTGTGCAGACTGCACTCAAACCCGCTAAAATTCCCTTCGGCCACAAAGAGGAGATCTCATCCACGATCACCCAGAACTCCGCCCTCGAAACATCTTCGCCGTCGACTTTCCGTAAAGTCACTCCGGAGGTGGAAACCCCTGCCCTGGAATATTCCTGGGAAGCCCCGTCGCCTGAAATCGCCATGGAATCCCGCCCGTAGACTCGGGGGCCCCCCCCCCCCCCACAACAGGTGGCGGTACATCCGGGTCAGAGGCTTGGCCCCCCCACGTGTCCAAAATCAATCGAGCGTCGAACGTTTCGCCGTGAAAACTGTTCGATGGGACCGCACCGTGTAAAAGTCATCGATCGTGGACGATGGGTCGACGTTTGAGCGACCCGACGAGCCAAAGGAAAACGTGGAAATCGGTCCGCTGGTACGCGGCTAACCTCTGGTCGCCTTTCGACGCGAACGTCGACGTCCCCGCGGCGACACGGAGATTGGGGGCGAGAGGAGTCGGGATCGAGGCTGTATCCGTACGCGAAATCGAGATTCCTATGCAAACGGTTATCGTAAATATTGCAACTCGTGGTATCAAGAGCCTCGCAGCCAGGTGTACGAGAGAAATTTCGAAGGCGGCGTGCGTCCGCCGGAGATAGCGCGATTCCGTCGGCCTAGGACCCAGCCGACGGGGTGGGACGTTGGAGGAGGACGAGGGAACGGGGAGGATGAAACAGCGGGATGAAAAACAGTAGGATGAGAGAGGAGCCAGAGGAACGGGTGGGAGAGGTGAGCCACGGTGTATATTCAGAGGCAGGTCGATTTGGGAGGTGGAGAGTGACGGGGGTGGCTAGTGGGTGGCTTTAGGGGTTGGTGGCGGCACCCTGTCTACCCGGACCGAGATCGCCGGAGGCTCGTTGCCTAGCGACCTCGTATTGATCTCTCCCCGTATCTCGGCTTTTCCCCTTTCCCACGTGATATTCACCCCCCTTTCACCCTCGCCGTTCTAACTCCCCCTCGGCCGTGGGTTCCCTCATCCAGGAGCCCCATCCCCCTTCATCTCTGGTTACCGTCTTCGTTCGCTTCCTCTCTTCCACTTCTCTCCTCTCCTATCGCTCTTTCTCCCTTTCTTTCTTCCCTTCTCGCCTGGCTCGCGAGAGAGATCCCTCCTTCTCGTTCCACGGTTTTCTTCTTCGCTTCTTCTATTAGGTTTTCCTTCTGTTTGCGCGTTTCGAGTGCCCTCGGCCCGTGCCAGAGAAAGAGAGAGAGAGAGAGAGAGAGAGAGAGAGAGAGAGAGAGAGAGAGAGAAAAATGGTGTCGCGAGGGCGGGGTAAGGCGACGGGATTAGGATCGAAGGATTTCTTGATGGAAATCCCGGCGTGCCGGGCTGAGCATCGATGTTAGAGGTCTTCGGGAGTTTACCGCCCCCGCGGCTCGCTCGATGCGCGAAACTTTCGCGTTCGGGGCACGAATGCGTGTTTTATTTTAGATATTCTGGCTTCCCTTGGATCGAGCAATCGCATGGAATTTGTGGAAGAGCTTAAGATGTCGAGATAACGACGGTGGAATTTTATTGTCGAGATCGAGGACTTTTAACGCGTTGACCGATACTCTTGGAAATTTCTAACGTGATTAAACTTTTGTTTATTGATTATTAGAAACTATATAAACAAGCATTTATTACGGTTTTTGTGTTTGTATCTTCATCGCCATTCAAGTATTTCGTTCAAATTCATTTTCTTTGACATTCAACTCCCAGAAGTAATTTCTTTAGTTCTTCAGTGAAAAGCACCGTCACCCATTTATGAGTGACGTGGGCGATCAACGTGTTAAGGGTTGACCTGGCATCGATACAATCTCGAGGAGTAATCGAAGGATTGACCTGAAATTGTGCAAACCTGTTCGAAACACACCTCTCTACGATCGGTATTGACATTACTGCTATACCTATTACTATTCTCGTTTTGGTAAACAAAACGTTGCTTCAACTTTTAGACAAACATTCAAACGTTTTTCTTTCTAAGATTCCAACCAATTCCCTTGCCAAACGTTGCTTTAGCCATTTAAAAACAATCAAAGTGATCAAAGTGATGAAAGCAGTCTTTGGACCGCTAGAATTTAGTCAAAGTAATCCATAGGTGTATGCGAAACGTAAGTTTTGAAGAGCAATTACTGTGGCTCCAACATCCAAAGGGCAACGTCGGAGCTCCGCGATTCTCGTGCAGGCTTTAATTACATCCTTTCGAGCCGTTACATCGCCCTGCCGTCGAGATAAATGAATATTTATCATCCTCTTCCCCTAAACACATTCGAAATCTAATCCTTCTTCCCTGTCTGCCATTAGTCGGTGACGCACTGCCATCAATGTTTACCAACTCCTTCCGGAGGTCCTTCAACTTTCTTAATCGCGTCCTTCCATGGTGCCGCGAATTACGCAAATTATCAACGTAACCGCGTTTCCCCGTCCCGTCTCATCTCCACAGTCGACTATTTTAGTCGCTTTTAATCGAGGGAAGACGAGAATAGTCGCGAAATTGACACACGGCATCATAGAACCAATATATCCTATCATTCGGGGGATTAAGCAACAATTTCCGTCTACTCGTACAAAATAGGCAGAGTTCGGATCTGTCAGAAAAGATTCCTGATTTATAAATTTCTCACTTGAAAACGTTTTCTTATTTTTTAGCAAAGTGTCTCCTGAAATATTTAAAAGCTACTGCATCAAATGACCGAATCCACTTATGCAATAATTCGTAATAATAATAGCCGATTATTATTTAATTAGAACATGTTTAACGGACACCAGGCCATTAATGGTCTTTTTCTATGAGTCTAAAACGTCAGTTCTTTTGCGAAGCTTCCCGTGTACACAGTTACACGAAAAGAAACTCGAGAGATTCTGTTTGCTTCGGCGTAATGCATCGTTCACTCCTCGTGAAGTTCCCAGAGTAACGTTACTTAGGAGGAGCAAATGCGATAGTTGCATCCGTATCTCTTCCGCCACGTTGCTTCGATCGAACGTCTTTACACTCTGCAACCCTGCACGGCGTTAGTGCTTCCAGCTGAATCTCGGAACTTACATCCTACATCACGGGGAAAAAATCTCTCAACTGTACGAAGTGATTTGCGATGAATAGGGTAACTTTACAGATTTTTTTTTTTTTTAATTTTTCATTCACTTTACATTATCTCGAAAATATAAATAAAACAAAGAATTCTCCGAAAGAGGTGTTAGGATTTTGTGTTTTAACGACAATGTACATTTAATTGTAGTGTCTACTTTTACTTGAAGCAGAGTTTTATCAACAATAAAATTCTGAAGCTACTTTCGGAAAACTCTTTCGCAAATAAAGTAACAAAAACGAGTATCGAAAGATTAGAAAGCGTGCAGGAGTGGTTCACCTTGACACCTTCCGTTGGGGTGAACTGGAGAAAAACTGAATTAATAAAAGTTGGATGGTTTCAAGGGACACACGCGGGGTAACAAAAAGTTTTGTTCGATAGTTATCTCTTCCAAGTTGCCGGGGTCGTTGTTTTGATACTACGATTCATTGGTACGGTGACCTGAGGTACAGTTTATTGCTTAACTATGCAGTGTAGCTCTATCATCGTGTAATATTTATGAAATAAGATTTAATGTTGATACTTAACTATTCAAAATTAATTGTTTCGTTGTTTGTTACTTAACAAAATTAATTTAATCTTCAAATACTTCTCATCTAAGTAAATAACTTTATTACTCATTATGTTTCGTTACTTTCGCCACTTAATAAGCCAGTTTAATTATTTATTTATCGACAAAACAGAGGTTGGAACATAATTTTGCCGAATAACGAGAATTATTATGAGATTGTCACCCTCGCAAAACGATGCTCAGAAAACGTAACACAACCGAGGCTAAACGCTGAGCGAATAAATTGCACAGCGAAACGCGTATATTTCATCCCTCCTTTTGAACAGGAAACAACCCCCGATCGCGCCTCACTGTTCCATAAAATCAGCTAATTTACGATCAAGGTGTACCCGAGCGCATCATCCGCGAGTCGCACATCACCTGAATGAAATTTATTCCTTGATTCTAGGGACGCTGCGAGGGATTGACAAACCACCCACACCCGCTCACCCCCTGCAACGTCTCTTGTTTCGCTGGGTGACCCCCTTCACCTCTTTTCGTCCACGGTTTCCCTCTAGGCTGTTCCTACCGGTAAAGTGACCTTCATCTGAATCTCTTTGTCGCGAGACGAGAGAATTTTCGGGGGTTGGAGCGAACGGGTGTGGCGTTTCAAAAAGGAATACCTTCCACTTTTACCTTCCGGGGCGGCCTTTGCCGCCGCGTCGTTTGTTCTCGTCCTGCACGCGTTACCATGGGGGTGTGCTCGCGCTTGACTAGGCACGCCGATGATGCCGTTGCTCTCCGCACGAGATAATGACCACGATTTCACGAGATAATGACCTGCGAGCACCGGGGGATTGAAAGAGCGATTCGATCGGCGAGGGACGCTGGTAGGGTAGCTGAATTTTCGCGAACGCTCGTTAGCGTGGAATCTGCGACCGGGGTGTATTTTATTAGCGAACTGAATTTATTTTGAATGTTACAGCTGAGTGATTATCCGTTGATTTATGCTTCATTATTTTGGTTGTTACTTTTTCGTGTTCTTTGTGTAGCGTTTCTTGGGTACTAGTTTTAGATTATTTGGGTGTTATGACATCAACTCTGCGGTCTTTTGGTACGGACTATTGTTTATTCGATCAAGTTAACAGACAGTTGGTTAACATAAAATGTCTGATAGAGTGAATTCATATATTTTTTTTTATAATCTCTTTGTATTATTCTGCAATATTTAAGGTTGAAACACTACTTTTAATTGCAACGAGAAACCTGTCTGCGTTATATTTTATTTTCTAATTTGACGTAATACCTTCGCGTTAGCGAAAATGCACGTAATATTACGTCACCGAGTCACGTACTCGATCGATTTCAGAGTTGGAATAACCGATTTTAACATACTTCAATGAAAATACACAGTACCGTGATATTCAACGTAAACCTTGATCAATACAGTTTAGACGAGGACACGATCGATTGAAAAATTCTACGCAGCTTACTTACGCAAGCATTTTTATTCGTAGGCGTGGCAAAAAGATACGCGAAAGGTTTGCTAGACTTGCGACATCTCCGAATACTGGACATCCGGAGTCCCGAGGGTTAATTCTATCCGAAAGAAAGCACGATACGTTTAATTCTATTCGAAAAAAAACTATCCCCCCGTTGTTAACGATCAACATCCCCCACCTTCAGAGAACACGAAGTAGGAAACAAACCTTCCCTTACCACCGAGTCGCTAATACTCCCTACCCCCGATCGTCAATAATCCACGGTCGCTGGCGAGCGTCTAATTCGCGTTCTCAGACTTCCATTATTCCGGAGAGTTCTCCGCAGCCGAGCGGTGAAAGCTGGAATGAAGAAGAAGAAAAAACGCGTATCCGGCAGCCTGGGAGACGGAAGCTGGCGAAAAGGGACAGTGGTTGAGCATCGGCCCTGAATAATGGAGGAGAGGCTGCGTGGAGTGTCGGACGCTCCGCTGAGAGAGAGAGAGAAAGAGGGGAAATAGGGATGAAGAGAGAGAGAGAGAGAGAGAGGAAGAGAGATGTATGTACCGTCGGAGGAGAGAGATAGAGACATCGGGAGAGAGATTCGCTTCCGAGAAGGAGGCAGAACGGGGAGCAGAGCCCCGGTGGTTGCTGGGTAGAAGCGGAAGCGACGTCATCTGGGGTGTGGGGGTGGCGGTGGTATTGGTAGCTCGCGTCGTCGGTGGATGCGAGTAGTCGACGGTTCCAGAGGGGGTTGGGATGCTGCGAGAAGGGATGGGTTGCCAGGCAACGTACGTCCACCCTTAAACCTCCGTCCATCCCTCTCCCCCGCGGCAGCCGCCCTCGCCCCTTCGTCGTCCCTGTGTTTGCCCATTCCGCGGATGAGGACTCGGTCGATACAACCAGCCGTTTTCGTCGTACGCCCGTGGATTCTCCAATTTCCATTACGGGGGGCGGCGGTTCCGACTTTAAGCTCGACCTGTCTCCCCACACCCTCGGCCCCGGCCAACCTCGTGCCACGCTGGGACACTTAAAACGATTGCCAACCTCTGCTACCCCGTCCGCTGCTCGCCGATGCCGCTGCGAATCGCCACTTGGACTCGAGCTACGAGGTTATCTTCCAGGGAATACGCGATACTGGCGTTCGGGGATGAAATTTTATTCGTGCGACGATTGACGAACGAGTGCAACGACGGCGACGATGCGTTTTTCGGAAACGTTGAACATCGTGCCTTCGTCGACGGGGTGGTTGGACTTTGATTCGTCGAGTTTACGTATCGATTTCTTTCTTCTCGAGGCTCAATGGGTGATTACGAATGAAATTAGGTATTCGGTGAAAAATAGTTCAAGGTTCCTTACCTGCCACTGGTAGACTGGAGGAGAGAAGAGTATCGCGATGGAGGGATGATTGAGAAATGCAGACACATCGTACGGGGGACGATTTTTTTTTATTACAAAAAATGTATGTACAGGGTTTGAAGTTAGCGTATAGATACTACGTTGTTAGTAAATACTACGATTAGGGTGGCATGGTACGAGGGGGGTTGAAAAGAGGATTCTTCCAGACTATTTTATCGAAATCGTACTACTTATCAATGGGAACCAGAATCAACAACAAAATTGTAAAAATCATCAATATTCTTAGATAATTTTCTGCATAGCATGATAATTGAGATTCTAATGCGGTAAGAAAAAAGTAGTAAGACTATATAGATTAAGGCCTTCTTCAATAATCCAAAGACAATAATCTTTAACATAAAAGTAAGTAAAAAGCAATACAGCATCAGCTACGTGTTTCATTCTTCAAAGATTCTTTATCGAGCTTTGCATACCACTTGTTACAATCCATGTCCACATTCCATACGATAATAAAACAATTTAAATGAAATTTACAAACGCATTCTGTTATTTGATTTGCGACAGATCAGACTGCTACGCACGAAAGGGTTAAATAAATACTTCGATCTACAAATACTGATTTATGCCGCCCCATTCACGAGGTACGATTCGTACTACTTGTTGCGGTACTTCCACAAATGAGTATCTACAGAAGGAGATCGTTGGAGGGGAGGGAGTCGTTGAGTTCCGTAAGAAATGAGATTTGCTTTTTCTACTGACCTGTCGTGTCTAAGATAACGAGCGGTTAAACTATCCTGAAGCGTCCAGGACTCGAGCTGGGCTTTTAACGTGGAACGTTGAATTTGGTCCGCTCTTGGCATTCACCGCGTGCCTTATGAATTTTGAAAAGTTGGCACATGGAAGCCCGCAGTGAACGCAAGGAGCACAGACTCACGCATCTTCCTTCTTCGATGGTGGTACCCGTATCGATTCTCGCTTCTCCGAAGTCTCCGTAATCCCACTCTTGCATCCCTGAAAGACACACTGCGGTTCTCAATACCTTCGTTCCGTGCATCGGAAACTCGTCGAAATATTTTCCACGAGTTTCCTTTAACGTTCATCGTCAATTCAACGAAGTGTTGAGCGATTAACCTTTAGGGATGATTTTTCTTCGCGCTTTCGTTATATTTAACTGTACATAGAAAATAACATTACCAGCGCAGCCAGACCAGAAAATTTGTGCTCCTCTTGTTGAGGGATTCCGTAGCGAATAGGTTGTTATCAAATTTTTGTTCTCTTTATTATCGACAGTAATTATGTCATACGGTCCACATAAGGGCGTGAAGAGATTAAAAGTTTGTTTTAATTCTCTGTGGAAGGGCGTGGCAAACGAGCCAGGTGTGCCCAAGCATCGAAAATCTGGTAAAGATAAATGTATTGTTTTAGTTTCAGCTATAGACACACGATGTAGAAATTGCACGTTGGACAATAAAATTTTTCAATTTCACAATATGCCATTACACACTTGGGGATGTATACTGATTCGACAGGTAAGATTAGTCCTCTCCTTCGATTAGAGTCTCTCGAAGTTCGGAATTGAGAAAATAAGAAAATTACGGAGATCGAGAAAACAGAGCTGTTAGACACGGCGCGTCATCCTACGCTCGATGCGCGTCCGCCCTAGGGGATTAACGCGTCGAACGCTGGAGCATTTCGATGAAGAGTAAACTCGAACGCTGCTGGCAGTGTTAACGTTTTCGGTTTCGTTTATATAACTTTTCATTGCACACGTGTTTTAGTAAAGGGTAATCGTTGTACCATGGAACGTATGACACTGAAGATATAATTATCGATTGAACTGGACCAGCGATGTTGATGTAAACCACCCCTTGCGGAGAGAGTTCAGTGAATCGCCATTACACGTACCATCATCGATTCGACCGAACGTACCAAATACACTGTGCGTGAATCAATTAATTAGAAATGCACATTCCTACAATCTCAGAAGAACGTAATTACATATCTCTATTTTAATAACTCGCACTCGGAATATTGACGTAAGTTTCAAAATACACTTGTCGGCTCAGCGATGGACACTGGAACATTATCTTTCACATTTAATTCCAATGATACACTTAACCCTTCCTACGGTGGCTTCTGATCACACGTATACTGCGGTTATATTCCACCTAAAAACGCATTTATCGCGTACAAATAGAGGCATTACTCACTATGAAGAAAAAAAAACTTCATTTTTCAACACCAAATTAATTTTTACTGATAATCTTCAGGTGATGTCAGTCTTACCGAATTCAGTCTTCACAGTTGCGCGAACGATACAAAAGCGTAACGATGGAACTAATACGTCGGTCGCTTTCGACCCGATCGTAAAAGAGGAGGGTTGAACGCGATCCTTCGCGTATCATCGTTTCGTTAAAAATCCAAAAAAGGCCTTGAATTAAAATACCATCCATCGGGGAACCATTCGTGCGGCGTTGCAAAGAAGGCGTGACCTCGCGCGACGACCAAAGCGTTAAAAAAAAAAAAAAAAAAAAAGAAAAAAACAATTAACGTCCAAGCAAGGGGTTCAATTTAAACAATCCCAGTCGAACTGTTTCGATGTGCACGTCTCGTATCACCGGCGCGTCGCAACGAGTGAAACAATAACCGAGGCAAAGTCTCGAAAAACGTTTCCCAGCGTGACCCCCACCGTTGTATCCGGCGCGTCGCGCGATTCGATTGCATTCGATGCACGTCCCCGTCTCTCGACACCGGGGTTTTCGATTCTCCCGCTCGGTTGAACGTTCGATAATCGCTGGAGCACCGAACGGGGCTGGAGGCGTGGTGAAAAAGAGCGCGAGGACACGGCGCGATGCACGTCGCAATGCGAACTGAGCTTGATGAGCGTCGAAACTGTACTATGGAACGATACCGCCAGAACCTATGGACCCACGATCAGGGGGGTGGCTGAACTGGGTGGCGCGGGGCGTCCGAGCCGTAAAGGGGGGGTTTCGTCAGTTCCACCATAACTTATTGTTTATTTCGCGCAGGGGTGCACGACCCCGTGATATCCAGGGCCGGGGGAGCAGCTGACGCTGGGGTTCCATTGTCTGTAGATATTCGCATAATCAAGAAAGCCACCCCATTCCCGTGCTTTTTCGTGGCGTGGAAAGGGACATATGGGATGCCCCCGACCAATATCGACGTCGATTTTGATGGATGCCGAGCCAGCGCCGCCACGGACCGTGGCTCGCGTTAAGCTCCGCTTCGACACGGACCGACGTTCGATTCGACAGAGGTTTTACGGTTTATGGACCGACATCGATTAGGGACTCGATCGCCGGCTGATTCGGGTTCTGAATTAACCGTTTCGTTGGGACCGTGGCGAATTTTGAAAGAAGAAAACGTAAGGGGGTGGTTTTCGAAACATTACTTTTCCCGTTTACCCTTTCAACGATGACGCTGTGATAATAGACCAAGTACAATTTGCACACGTTTATTAAAAGCGACAAGTTTCGATAGATCGGTGTTTGGATCTTTTCGGATTAATAGTATTTTAGACAGGTAAGCTCTTGTCTCATTCGTCTTTAACAGTTTACCATTTTTCAAATATTTTATAGTAGGTTGTCCCAAAAGTTTCTTTCGTGACTTGCACTCGGTTATTTCGTGTGCTAATGTTTACGTAAATAGACAACCTGATTTCTTAGATGTTAATGTTGTAACAGCAGTGGAACAAAATGAATCGTAAGCAATTCAATGCCGTAATATTAGACATAAAATATTGTGAATGCATTACTTATTAATGAAATGGAAGAAACTTTTGGGACAACCTAATATTCATTCAAAATATCGTTAACCCGAAGAGGATCGCGTATCGATCGATCAAAGTCATCTTTGTTTTAATTATAGTGTATAATTTGCACTTACCCATTAGAAGTTCAAGTACGTTGCTCGTGTAATAAAAAAACATGAATTCAGTGAATCCCCGTTACAGCACGATAAAGAAGATTATTGGAACCTTCGTCACAGGATACAATAACGAATGAAAGGTAAGCAATCCTTCGTTCGTTCCACGTCGAATAAAATTTAGGATTCGAATAACAGAATAGAATGGTTCATAACGCATACATAAAAATTCAACAGTTTGATAGTTTCATTCCGTGTCTATTACTCGATCGGAATCTTACCCCATCTCTGTCCGATACGTCGTTTCTTCCATACGAAAAATCGTTACGTTCGTGGCCCCCATAACACGCGATGCGTGATACACACAAAGAGCTATTACACACACCGACAGATGAAAATGCCAGACGCGATGCAGAAATGGGTTAAATTTGACTCGAACAGTTGAATCTTAAATTTCTAATACGTTAGTCTGTGACTGGGACCTTTTCGTACGTTTTAAAATTGCATAGAATATATGAAGTCAACATTCGGAAATATTTCGTTCCATAATTAACAACCGAATGCGGTATGCTTTGAGAGTAGAGATGAAAATACATAATCCTGACGAGTAAAATACCATTTCGAAGGTGATCGACCGGATGGTCGAACCAGAACACCGAGAACGAATCTAAATTCCAAACTTTCTTCATTGCTCTACAATAAAGGGCAGTTGCATCCATCTGGTGAACGAACGGCAGCGATGCTACGATTTTCATCGTCGCAAAAGGTGACTGGGCGACCGTATCGCTGGCCGAGTGTCCCAGAAAAGGGCGAAGGGGTCCTGGTAGACTGAGACGCGGCCGAAAACCTCGGCGAAAAAAAGAAGGGTGTTGCTCGTTTTAAAGGGCGCGTGCCTCGACGCGGCGAGGGGGTCCAGCGCGTGCTCGAAAGCTACAATCGCCCTAAAGGCCAATTCACATCCGTCGAGCGAGGAAGAACCCGATAGAGGAGGGGGTGTGACGGGGGGGGGGGAGAGGGTTCCCCGCGACACAATGGGGCATTCCCTCGAAGGGCTGGGACCTCGTCTGCCAGAACTGTGGGTCAGGGTTACCACGGGGGTAGGGGGTGGAGGGTGGGAGGGAGGGAGGGAGGGAGGGAGGAAAGGGGGTTCTCATCCATCGATTTAAACCTTCCTCGTGCTACACCCTTCTCCTCCGCTTCCTCTACCCGATCTCAGCCTATTAACCCTCGCGAGAGACACCCTTGGAGACCAGGAATTTAATACGGAGTTATTTAAATGCTGGCCTCGTCCCCGATGTCCGCGATGGAACGTCGAATTTCTAAGTTAATATTCTTCCTAGGAACGTTTGGACAAGTATCGTAATAATTGGAAAATGACTGGAAAGGATATCGAAGTAGATAACGCTGATTTCGATCGAACTTGTGTTGTCGAAGGATCGCGAAACAATGTTCGTATTTTCTTTTTTTTTTTCGGCGATAGGCGAATGGGGTGGAAAGAGCCCTTACGGTGCAGGCTGGAAAATGCATTTCAAAGAAAGAATTCCACGAGAATATTAAATACGTATTATACGAAACACCCTTTGTAGATGAATATTATAATTATGGTACGTTATCGTCGATTCTATCGAGATAACAAATTAACACGTTCACTCCCGGGTTAATATTCTCGAAAATTTCTACTTCGATTAAATTTTGTTTACAGATTATTGGAAATCGCGCAATGAAACGTTTATTGCGGTATTTAGTTTCGTAACTTCGTCAAAGTTCAAATATTTCGTTTGAATTCATTTTCTGCGATACTTTTTTCCAGTGAAAAACACCGTCGCCCATACATGGGCGACCACGTTTAATGACTTTAAGCTGAGATGTCGCTACACACAGACTTTATATAACTTTGTTTCGCTCGAGGTAGAAAAAAACAAATGTAGACGCGGGTTTCGACGAAGCTACCCCCGATCTGCATCGAATCGGTCCTATTTCGGAGATTCCGTGAAACGTTGCGACGAAAGGGGCCGGGCGGATTGATCCGATCCTGGGGGACATTGTGTAACGTGTTCGAGCAAGGATTGTGGACGTTTCGGAGGGAGGGGTGGATTTTCGTTATTTCGGTGGCACTTTGAGAATGGACGAAAGTGCTGTTTCGGGGAGAAGGTCACCGAAGCGCGAAGAACAAGGGCGTGTAATCGGGCGTGGCGATACGAGACTAATTATACGACCGATAAAATCTCAAGGACGCGAATGACATTTACAGAGTTTCGGTGTCGAGCGCAAAAATACTATAGCGGGCGAAAGTTATCGCCTTTTGGCACTTGCGGTGGGAGATCAATTTAGATCAGGAATAAACTGTTTATTCCCGTGACGAAGTCAACGTATAACATTTTACAACACATAGTGAGTTGAATGGTTCAACTTTAGTTAGTTGTGGAATATAGTTCTAGTCTAGACTGTAATTTTTGACGAACAGGAAATTAACAGTTGTCCATTTTTATTCGTTACTTGAAATTTGTACACAGATATTGGAAGTATATTCTTGTGTCTTTGGATTCTACAACACTTATTATCTCTGATCCAGATGTTCGATAGCTGAATAACTAAGAACTCTGTTTAAAGAAAAAAAAAATGCTACGTGTACTCTTGTAAACTTTTGATCTTTGTTTTCAAAGAAACTAACGATTCCAAAGCAAAGATTAACATGGACTCAGTAGAGACTCTCAGAAACTGTTTCAACGTTTGTCATATTTAAAGCATTCAAGCATTCTAAGAATAGTAAGAGATACAAAAACAGAGCTACCAAAATCCTTACCACGGGCATTCTCTGTTCCTCGTGGCGACAGGAAGACTCCGAGGATCGTCGGACAGGATCGCTGAATGGCTTCGCTCTCCCGGTCCGTGTGTCCTCGTGACGTAATCGAGCACGTGCACTCCGTTTGCGCCCTTCTCAGGTGGGGTTGAAAACGTCACGGATCACCAATCCTCCCCCGAAGGCACGCCCTCTTCATCGATCCTGGTGAACCCTTCTTCATTCATGAGAGCCCTGGTACCGAGCCGACGAACCGCATAGTTGTACCTGGTATCTAGAACAAATTAACAGTTATCGTGAGCGAAACGGAGATAGGACCTCGAGGAGAAGGGAGAAAGATGAGGCCTGCGACAGAAGGGACGCGTCCGTTGGCCCTAGGCAGCTGTATGTGGTCGTAGGTCAGCAACAGCTTTTCATTGTTACTATAAGTTCTCCGTTCCCTGACGCCTCGTCGACCAACTCAGGAGTCGAAGGGGTGACGGCCATAGTGTTTCAAGCTAGGTCTTTTCGAATATTCACTTCTGCGCGTCGATGCGATCTATAGATGCGCGATCGCCAAACGTAATTGTGGAAGTATTCTACAGATGAGACAGGAGACCAGTTGCCTTAATCTTCTCAACCATGTTACAGGAAGAGAACTGATCTTTCCTGTCCTTCGAGTCGAGATAATAATTTGAAAGTGGTAACTTGAAAGCTTGTGTATACATAGATATCTAAATAGTCTCTATATAGATCCTAACAATGGGGAGGACGAAGAATTCCCTTCCTTTCCTTCAGGACCTGTCCCTCGAGTCGATATTGTGACTCGATAGCGGCGCAGCTTGTAACGGAGAGTGCGTTCCAAGGAGTGGTTGAATTCCTGATTCGAGACGCTGACAGAGTTTATTGCGACGAAGGCCGAGTTTAAGACCTCGCTCGACAATTGAATTTTTCTAGCGTAATCGAGCCGGGGCATGGTCGTGCTCGTGGTTATAAATAGGAGGTCGCTGCGAAACCCTCCGGCGAGTTCGTCAGCTGATCACATATTGACAGTTCGATAAGTTGCTTCGTCAGCGTCGTTCAATTCTCGAAACTGCCCTAACCGCAATTAGACTATCGACTCGAACATCGCATCTTCGTACTCTTCTCAATTTCGACTATTCCTAGAATCGATGACGATTTCATATTAAAACTGTCACTGATTAAAAATCCTGGAGCGTTTCTACCATAAACTTAATAATTTCCTACGGTTACAAGGATTTTGTTCCTTTCCGGCAACAGACGAGTATCTATTCCACGTACATTTAGAAAAGAGTTTTTGACGACTCATTCAATTTTTGTATAATCCTCCCCCGTTTTAGTTCTATTAGGTTTTGATGTTACAGATAGCACTAGGATTTTCGAATTTTTTGAGCCAAAGTGTCGAACAGAGGGACGCGCAACCACAGTACGAAGAGGCGGCGGTCTATGGTTAGGTCCAAGGTGGCGGTCAGTTCGGATGGCGGCTGAAAGTCAGTTTCGTGACAGAAAATTACGAAAATGGTAATTAGGCAGCCAGCGGCGACGTGCCGGCAACGGCTTATTCATACTTCGTAGCCATGGCGATCCTGCACTACTGATAAAACAACAGTACACACCATAATGTACTTACGCGGAATAGGGGAACACCTTGTCTACCGGGTGTCACGGAAATCAGGACATTTCGCGTGCGTATGGTGGAAGAATGTTAATCGGGCCCGCGGGGAAGTACTTCGTTAGTATCGGTCATCCGATTCTGTTTAAAATTATGCTTCCCAAGGTATAGATAAAGATTTTTAACATACACGAAAGCGTATACATATTGCATTTTTCTGCTAAATCCATTTAAATAATGATCGATGCAAAAATTGAGAAGGAAGTAAATAAGACAATCGAACTGACGGAAAATGAATAATTATTAATTAGTTTCAGCGATCATCTACGATACTTTAATTATTTTTGTTCTGGAGGTAATCCTAGAGACTGGTTGAAAATCGCAGACTACCGTCGAGGACACGATGAGCATGCAGCGACGCGCATTTTGCTTAGGGTGTCACAGTGAATTTTTCTATTTAGCAGGGTGTGCCTTTTTCGGAAGCAATTACACGCGTTAAGAAAGCATTAAGCATATGGTAACATATGGTGATCCCCGTAACGTGGATGCTGTACTTCTTTGTCGAAATTTATAGTTGGCCATATGTTACGGCGTTCGTCGTCTCGGATGGTGCAACTTTGCGTAAGCGAAGATGAGCTGGGGTCGATCGTTTCGAGGGAGGCGGGACTCCGAATCCTGAATTTTCTAGTAGAACCAATCCAAATACTTGACGAGGATTCTTTTACGACGGATTAGCGACGATAGAAAAATATCTTCAAAATTCATTCGGTATTTGAATGATTTCCTATTCGTTCAAGCGCGACTTGCGTAATTCAGTAAACTTTATCGAACGTCAGAACACGTCGGAATTTGTTCATCTCTGAAAATACAGGTTTGAAATATACCACCATGGTTACAAATAAAGAAAGTCTTCTAGGGTTTCGAGATCCTTTACGAAGAAGATTCTAAATGACAGTTAAAACGTCGAGGGTAATTATTAAAATAACATAAAACAAATAATAGTTTCATTTGCTACGTCATGTGTCATACTTCGTATCTGGATGAAAATTTTACCGAAATTTTTGGAGAAGGATAACAGAACGACTAGATTACAAACGTTCACTAACTTTCACTAGAGAGTCTCGAAAAGCCGCGAGAACCTATCGTCGCTGACCCTGAAGCTCCATGAACGTCACTACTCCATAACCTTGAGCTACCAGACACAGACTCGAGAAAACTACGTCCCGCGGAGGACCTCGGCAGCCTATCGCGACTAAGAGACCACTCCACAACCGGAGCATCACCCAGACCCCTGACATCCAAAGCTACGTCACTCGCCAGCGCGTAAAACAAAAATTGGAATCCGTCTCGTAGAGACTGACCTCGAGGAAGAATCCTGAAACGAATTACCTGTGAACTCCGTGTCCTGGAGGGTGGCCGGTTCGCGGCGGGATCGTCGATCTTGCGGTCCTCTTGATCCTCCAGCCACGGTCACCGGTCGCGGAGAACCGTATCGCGACCCGATCCGTCGCAGATCCGGGGTAGTTAGGAACTTGCGAGGCCGAAAAACCATGGGGAATCCTTAGGCGGGAAGCGTGCCGGTACCTTTCGAGCCGACAAGTAAAGGACGTGGACGAGGCCGATGCCGTCGCGGCCGACTACGGCGGAGGCAGGACGTGTCAACGAAGAAGACGAAAGCAGCGGCAGAGAAGAAGAAGAAAGGGGCGCAGCAGAATGCGCCGTTTTGTGTCGGGACGGTGTTGTTGGTTTGATGGTCGCGGGACCACTGCGCCCTCTCCGTCTTCGCCCACGTAGCCCTGCCCCTCGATATCAACCCCCAATCCCCCTGGAAATGCCCCAGGGATCGACTGTTCGCCCTCCAACCAAGCCGCCTCTCGTTGTAGCCGTCTCTGGATCCCCCACTAGCCCTCGGTTGTGCCGGTGGTTTCCACCCTAGAACGAGGATGTCGGCTCCGGAGCCACCACCACCGAACCACCCACCCCTAACCCTCTCACCCACACGCGAGTCGGACCCCCACCAGGAGAGCATTCCCTCGCCGTGAACAGGCTGCTGTGTCGTCGTCCGCCGAAAACCAGGCAGGGTACGATTCAACGTCGGCCCTTTTCCACCCCTGCCGCGCATTTTCCGCGACGAGACGGGGTTGGCGATGCTCGTGATCGTACTGATGGTAGGTGCCGTTTCTCTGCCGGCGCGGTCTCGTTACCCGCTTGCCGCTGGCCAGCACCGTCGCGCCTGCTCTGCTGGAGGTGGTCGTCGACGTTGGGTGGTGGTGACGACGACGCTGGTGGTGGTGGTCGGTACTGATGGCGCGAGCGCGCCGCGGCGTCCGTCGCGCACGCGTCACCCAGAAAATCGAGCCCTCGTACCTACCCGCGTTTCTTCTAGCTCCCGATCTCTGTCTCTCTCGCTCCTAGGTCCGCCGAGCCCAGTCGCTGCTAGGCCAGGCTAGGCCAGGCCACCCACTACTCGTTTCCCGTTGCGTTCGTCTCTGTTCAAACGGATGCACGTCGCGGGGTCCTGTTGCCCGTCTTCGTTCAAGGGCGTGCAACCTCCTTCCCAACGAGAGCAAACTTCAGGGGCGAGTCAGGGGGATCGAGGACTCCGTCTCGCTTCTCTTTATCTCTATTTCTCTCCATCGGCAGCACGTCGTTAGTTCGCGCGTTCCTTCCTTCCTGCCTGCCTTCCTTCCTTCCTAGAATTCTTTATCTCTCTTCGGCTACTCGCCCCCCTCCCACCCTCCGCCAAACGTTCCTCCGCCCCCGTAATGTGTTTCTGTACCCTGCGTTTCCGCGCCTCGCTCTCTCCCTTTGTCCCGCGAATTCTGCCTCGTACGTTCTTCTTCCAGCCACGAGTCACCCAGAAACGAGATTCTCTCTCAACCCCCGCGGTGTTTTCGTACCGGGGATCCCTCTCGCGGACTTCCAATTCTGACCGCGTAAGGGGGTTGAATTTCGGGTGCAAGGTCCCACGAGCGAGCTCTTTGCGCGTCTCGGGAGGACTCGATTCTTGGGAAAGGACCAGTGGTCTCCCGTGAATGGCTCGAGTCTTAACCGAAACCTTTACCTAAGGGGTTGCAACGAGAATTTACGAACTTTTTAGAAAATCGACAACAGCGAGTGCTTGGAATGAATTGAAAATAGGGTAACGAGTAAATGGTATAAGAAAAGAAGACATTTACATCGATGATGTGAAACATCAGATGTCAACAATCTTTAGCCTGACGCAATCTTGCGCTATCGTTCGATATGGTCTTAACCATGCATACGTTGTGTGACATTCTCGGATACGATAGAGACATGTACACAATAGTAGTTAGATACCGAGCAACAATAAGAATAATATAGTATTGTCTAACAGTCAATGGAACTACGCCGTGCATCTCGTCCCCTTGCGCCCTGCTCGAACGCATTCACCGATGTGCAACTCGAGCAGACTGTCTCTCTAAAAGAAAAAAATACTCTGAAACTTTGTAAGACAGTTGCTCTCTTCTTGAAGATGATCCTTTAATAAATCACCATTCTTAACACCCTATATATGAATAATTAAAACAAAAAAAGAAATTATCTCACTCTTCAAGATATCAAGAATCTCTAAAAAATGGTTTCTTATAAACATATTCAAATAAAATTTTTCTTAGTTTTCTCGCATTCGTTCCCTTGGAATTAATTTTTAAAGAGGATTCCCCGTCCTGTAGCAATTTGCCTAGTTTGGAGAGACATCCCTTAACGATATCGAAACGTTCTGCTCGTTATTAAGCTGTATTGTGTTTGGGGCGACAAAGAGGTTCATCGATTGATTTTCCTTCTGCTACGATTCCAAAGAATAGCTTTTACACTCGGCAAGGCGGGTTCCTTTGTCCAAGATTTTGGTTAACGCGACCAGACTCCGCGTCTTGGGGTTTTCCTCGCAAAAGTAACGGAGGAGTGGAGGCCTTTTACCGGATTATTTCTCCATCGGGCTCGAGGCGAAAAAAAAAAGTTGACTTTGATCTTTCCACCCCTTCACCTCCTCTCGCTGTCCCAGCTTTTACCTGCGGAAACGCGAAACGACTCGTTTACGTCGTTGCCGTTTCCGTTTCTTCCTCTCGGGCGTCCGCGCGCGAGCGTATTATTAGCGGCCCCGGCGAGCTTCTTTTTGTTCTCGGTGAAACTCGAGCGCGGGAACGCGGGGAACAAACGGAAACGAGGGAAAATTAAAATCCGTTTCTTTACCTGTTACGCTTAACTAGCGCGCGATAGGTTAGAAATTTGTTCCGCGAACGGGAAAATAAAACTCCGAGTGGGAGCCATTCGGTCGACTTGATTTTAGGAATTATTTGAACATTAGTCGAGAAACTCGTCTTGAATGCAAATAAGTGTGAGAATAATAATAGTCTCGCGCGCAACGTTTTTAACGTTTCGTTTCATCGGGTTAGTCGTTTTCCGAATTAAACAAAACTATGCAACCTGTGTAAGCAATTTACGCAACAGTATTGCGATTTGATCTACGAATACAATAGAATAGGAATTAAAATATTGATATTCATCACCTGTTGAAGATTCATCTTGAATTTGGAATTTTAATTATATATGCGTATGTGATATAATTTTAGTAGCTGGTATAATTAAAATTAATATGGTGTAAGAGCAACGATCAAATCCCGAAAAGCTCGAGGAACTATAAGAATAATTCATTTACCCAAAGAGAGCAGAATTCTGAGTTCAGGTACACGAAACCGAACGAACACGACCCCCTTTCTTCTAACCGGGTCGTCGTTACACGAAACTCGGGCCAATTAATAACCCAGGGCGATTCTCATCGAGAGCAAACGAGAAACCGTCCGAAGTTTACACGTTCGTTACATTTTTAACGCCATCGCCCGTTTCCCTCGTCTTTCCTCAACTTGCTAATATCAATTAAGGGGGCACACGCTCGCGAGCACCGCGCGTTCCGCGGATATCAGCGGAGCGTGGAGAAAATCTAAGTTTTATCCGTCGCTCCGTCTCGTTTCCTCCGTATCGTCGATTACCCCTCCGTTCCTCTAATAATCATCTCCAGCCAGCCACTCTCCCCTCGCCGTGCCTCCGCCATCTTTCGAGTTCGAAAGTTCTTTTCCTGTTGGAGATGAAGTTGTCGAGGAGGGAAAGAGTGGCCTCTGGAGGCTTCCCTTCTCTGGGTGCCTGGGGTTCCTTCGTCGTCTTTTTTTTTTCTTTTTTTTTTTCTTTTTTTACTTTTTTAGCTCGATCGGTCCTCCAGCGTAAGCATGCGAACCGACGTAAACTTTTGCTCCGACGTAATACGTCCGCTCGAAGGCTGGACCGGGCGTTTCTTTTTCCATCTTCTGGTCGCGCGACGACGCCGCGGAAATTGGAATATTGATCGGCAATTAGTGGAACGGGGCGATTGCTCGCGAGACTCGGTCGTTCGACTCTGAACGCTGTAATGAAATTAATCCTGCGTCGTGTGTCGCTCGTGGATTCCTCTGACTCGCGAAATGAACGTTTCGTGCGCGAGCAGATTTAAATTAAGAGGAATGCTTCGCTTTGTGGAATCGAGAAAAACTCGGTAATCGACGGAAAGCTGATGGCGATAGGAGGAGAGGTGCCTGGAAAAAAGAGATTAACCGAAGATGGAGAAACTGTGACTTTGCTGGGAATTTAATTCTCTTTTGCCATCTAGTGCGTAAATTTTGAATACCAGATGGATAAAAATCAATGAGCTGACGAGCGATAAACAAGTATCTAAAATTGATATAGACGTATCAACTTCAAAGTTCTATGGTCCTCTTCGTTGATACGAAAATGTCAGGTTCCATAGTAGGTCCTCAATTATTACAGGAAATTGAGGCTGTGAATGCCTGCAACAATCAAGGTTCGTGCAATAATCAAGGTAACCAATCCATTGAGTGGTGGCTCTGCGTAGCACAACCCCACCATAACTCCCAACTTTACTTGTTGCTTAGCGACCAGGTAATCTCACGATTGAAACGTTTATAATACAGGTGAATAAAGTGCTTGAAGTTATATTAGTGATTAATAATTTTATACCAACCACTCGAGTCATTTACAAGTTGAGGTCAAATATAAATTCTTCGCGACATCGGGAGGACTTCTAACAGGATCCAAATTGTGTCCGACAGAACGTAGGAGTGACGTCAGGTGCCACCTACGCGTCATGTAAATTTCAACGTGTATTTACGATCACGCATGAATAAACCTTTAAACCGACAAGCATTCGCTGGGCGCGATAAACCACTGACCTTAGCTGCCCGGGACTAGCTACTGAATCACGATCACTGGGATTATCTCGACCTAGCCGGCGTCGATTGGAGAAAATCGAATCGCGGCAAGAGGGACCTAGGGAACCATAAAATTGCGAGTCGGAGGTCACCGTGGACAAGTGTCGTGGGTGGGACGTCTAATGGCCACCTACTGTTACGATCCTCGCGACTCCCGCGGAGAGCCAACGGGTTTCGTGTTGTAGACAATCGAGGACGACCTACGCGTTGATGCTGTGTCAACAAACGTTCGAACGTCAACCTGGCTTCGGCGGAACACTCAGCCGATCGACTGTTGCGAAACAGAGGGAAGTTGTTATCCTCTTCGCTCCTGCTGTGCGTTGGACGTGGATTTTAACACTTTACCTATCGGAAGGCTATTTATTTCTACTGTTTACTTTCTGGAATTCATTAACCGCGATGTTAGTTGTCTATTTGCAATGCTCAGGTTTTGGTAACAGCTTACGGTATATTTAGTAACAGCATAGATTCGTATACAGGCAGTCCTGTAAATATTCGTACCCTCCGTGTTTATTAAAGAAGTTTGTCTAAATTAAATAATAGGTTCGATGTTTTCAAATAAATGTTTCATTATAAATATAATGAAAACATGAAACGTATCATTTAATTTAGACAAATTCCTTCAAAAAGCACAGAGGGTACGAGGATTTGTGGGACCGACTGTAGACGAAACTCTTTCTAAACAGTTCAACGATTGAGGTGTCGAAAGATTAATTTTCTCGTCTAAAATCACTCAATCAAAAATAGAAAAACTTTTTCGTAATAAGCGAATCTACGAATGTACCAAGCTTTCGAGACCCCCGAGGTTCGTTCAGGTGAAGTACCGTTTCAATCGGAAAGTATCGGGCACAGGTTCGGTTTTGTATCGCGTTTCAGCAGGAAACGGTGCCTCGTTCCCTTTGGAATTCGTGTTTTCCAACGGTGGTCGCCGCGAAACGTCGGAACGCAATCGGGGAAACAAATTTTTGCGCAAAACGGAGATTGGTCACCGACCTGGGCTCACCGTGACCGCTGGCTACGTTCCAGCCGACCTCCGGCTATCATCAAAGGGATTATTTTTTATGTTTGAATTAAATTGCCCGAAGCGACGAGCGTTATCGACGTTGGCAGAGGTGATGATCGCCACTCTAAAAGGGAATTGGCCGACGTTTCGGGCCAATTTCGAACTTCGATGGCTCCTGTTGGCTCCCGTGTTTTGTTTAGTAATCATCCACGTTTTCTCTGTGTTCTTTTTTTTTTTTTTGTTTTATTATTTCGTTTCCTCCGTTTTGTTAAACATATTTTCGCGAGTGCTCGAGACGCGCAAATTGGCTCGTTTGACGAAATTCCGCGGGGGGCTAATATTCGATGCGGCGATTCATTATTTAAAGGGCCCGCCCGATGTTTCACGCGTGCACGGTTGAATAAAATTTCGGCAGAGCGATGAAATATGAATCGAATCTGTTTTAACCGGACCGCGGTTAATTCTAGCGGAATTGGAAAGTACTGGGCGCGTTTAAAGCGAACGTGCTTGTAGAGGGTGCATTGTGGATTGGCTTTTGTCGACTTCTCTATTTTTCTAGAAAATATTAAGCTCGCTACGCGAGTTGCGTTCGGCGGGCCTGCTTTTGCTGCTTTAGAGATTTCCCCAATTGTGTATGCAGTTCCAATAGTCCCTCGTTGTCGTGCTAAAGCAAAAATAAATACCGAAACACTTTACGTCTTACGCAAAATAAAAGTTTCTAAGCTGTTGCTGCGATGTAAAGGGTTCTTCAAAAGTTTTTGATTAGTTGTAATCGATCGTGCTCTTATTTAAAACAGACAAATAGAATCTATTTCATTTTTGTGTTATTAGAAAATAAACTCATCAACCCCCTTTCGGAGTACCCTTTATTAACCAAACACAAGCTCTATTAAACACATATATCAATTGCTGTATTAAATATATCTCAACTATAAACTCAATATCACGTAAATATCAACTTGTTAACGTCCACCTGAGGCACCTGACTGTGGTGTGCCGGTATTTCCACGTCGAAACAGCTGCTTTCGATCGCAAAAATCGACGGGGTAACCGGGACTCCGTCGCGGAAGTCTGCCAGCGGCCACGGAGAAACAAAAACACGTGCCGGTCTTCTGTGTGCGTACGCAATCTCTTAACCGGATCTTTTCGGCGGGTGAATGAAGTTGAAGGCTGTTGATAGTGGATACACACACCAGCCGGGTCGATAGAATTCGGGCCACGGCCTCTTTGCGAGAGCACCAGGGCTAGTTTCCAGCGACGGAGCAAAGGGGTTCCCTCGTGGAACGAAGGACGGGGGTGAACCGAGACGAGGAGAAGGAGATAGAAGCAGATGGGGGAGAAAGAGAGACAGATAGATGGATAGAGAGAGAGAGAGAGGGAGAGGGAGAGAGGCAGAGGGGGTACGTTGAGCGAGATAGATATCGCGTAGGAGGAGGTAGATAGAAGACAGAAAAACATAGATCTCTGTATCCATCCTCAACTATCTCTAGCTTCAGTATTATTTTTATTCATTATTACATAAAAAGAGATAGATAGTTACAAAGATAGAGAAACACGGATCTCTGTCCCAGTCTTTAACTACCCCTATCAATCTCTATCTGTATCTATCCACATTTCCTCCAATATCAATCTCCAATTTCTTGCTGCACGAAAACGGGCAACGACAAATATTGCTACGTATACACGCGCATAATCTAACGGATACGCGAACAGTTGAATCGACGGATAGAC